ATTCTTGTTTGGATAACAATTTTCATGGATTTGTTGGGTTTAAGTTAACATTGAATTTAAATGACCAACGAAATATGATTTTCTGTAGATCCAAGAAATTACAATCATTCCATATTCCACAAAAATTGGTATCCACGAAAAAAAGAAACCCAGAGTAGTACACAATGCAAGAGAAGAAACTGAAGACTGAGCAGCCTTCATTAACAGGGGTGCGCGTGTGATACAAATACTGCTTCAACAGATTTATGATGAAGAACTGCTGAAATCGATACTGTAGATATGATGGTCACCATCACGAATTGGTTGATCGATACGATGTGTCTGTGTCAAAACTAACCACCGACATGTCTTCGCGGTATTTGATCTTTACGTTCTAGAATTATGGTTGTTTGTGCATTTGCAAAGTACCTGATATATCTTATTATGGTTAGCACAAACGTTTGCTTATTGAAATACATATCGAGGTAATTTCTTATAATCAGCAGTTAATGCAGTTTTGTGCTGTCTGGTAGCCTTTGATAAACTGTGGTGTTCTCTGCAGTCAAAACATTATCCTTCGTCCCATTCTTGACACCAAACCACTGATAGCGATTTAATGTGGCGAAGGTCACAAATTCCACACAGATGTGATAATTCTGAAATTTAACATTTGAATGTCAAGTAGTTATGGTATGTGAATTGGACTGGGGAATAGAAGTAAAGTCACCATGGGTCTTCCTCCGATCAGCAGTAAAACACTCGCCAAAGTGGGGCGTCCGTTTGGGTGTGCGGGATGTACAAATTTGAAGCCACGTCCGGTCAGAATGGGGACGTTAAATCTGATGCCTCGTGTAAAGAGAGTGCCACGCTAAGAACCCTTTCAACAACTCTGTGAGAGGTCCGTAGGTGGCCTGTTGCAGGCTACATTTCTGTCCCTATCCAATATACACTATGTTCCCGTGGCAGTCTAAATTTCTCGGACATTAATCCCGGACGCCTCTATTACAGAACCTACCTATTGTATTTATTGTCAATTTGTTCTCGTCCTGAATATGCATGATTTATTTGCCACTGGACGTTAAGCAATCAACAATCAATCAATCAATCAATCACAAATCTTTAACGAATGTTGGTAGACCGGGTTATTTTGTTATCTTCGTCAAACACTATACCAACGTTTCAATGAAATTATTAAACCCTTTCCCGAGAATGTAACCATCAATAATTGGAAAAACGTTTTTCTTATTTTTCCTTTTTTTTTCTTGAATTTTTTTGTAGTAATTAGTTAGACACCGAATTTAACCACTTATTTAACGATGCGTAAATTGTTGGCAATTTCACAACTGTAATCAATCGGTGATAAATGTACATTTCAAATACTGTACATTTTTAATTTTTCTATTTGTTGATATATTTATTAGATGTTAGTAGTCTAATCACCAGTTATAAGAAGATTTAAATTAAACTATACAACTCCACCACATTTATATGTTTTAGATAAAGCAGAAATATTTGTGCATGCTACATATGGACTACGGACTTGAACTAATTGAGAATAAGGAGTAACGAAATAAAGAATAAACAAAAAAATAATAAAGAAGTAAAGAAAATAGGGTAATGTGCAAAGAAATAAAGAATGAAGAAAAAACTGGTTTATAATATACATCAGGCATGAATGAGGAAAACCTATCCAGACGTTCGTGCATGTTATGATTCAGATTTCTGTACTTTTGGTATCATTAATATATAAACAGTCACTTATAAAACTTCATTGATGTGGAAACAAAAATTGATTACAACATGACTTTACACTTCGTCCTTCAACAGGTTATATATATTAGATCTAAATATCGACTTAACGCGTGACATAAACCGTTTCAAAACAGACCCAAAGTGGGTGATTTAACAGATTTCATTGTATCGTTTGTCATTTAATAGGTTTTTTTTTCTTTTGTAAGAATAAAAGAAAAATAGTCACAATGCAAAATTATGCAGAGTACAACCAGTCTAATTAATAGTATTACCAGGTGAGATATACATATATATGCTTAAATATGTAATACGGGCCGGTAATCAAATATAGGTTTGATTTGTATTCTTTCACTGATCCAAATCACACAGAATTTTGTCTTTTCAATCTTAAAACTCCGTTAAGGCTATTTTTTGCAGATTTTAGATGGCATGATTATTAGTCACGGATCTATAATTTAAGGTAGAGTATGGGGTTATTATGGAAACAGGATGACTTTGCAGCACATCTGTGAAAACAGCGACAGATTTTGACTGCATAACACGTTTAAAAACATAATTGTGATTGATGAACAAGTAAAAAATCAGAGGAAAAGGGTCTTAAAACCCTGCAAATTATAAAAAAGTATTAACACAAATACAGATCGCCAAGGTAAATTCAAAATAGAAGTCCACAAAATCTAACAAAATCGGCGCTCTACTTTATTAACAAACGGAACGGATGAAAAACAATCGTCTTTTCCCTTTAACATTGTAATGGCATTTTTTTCGACAATTGTGGGTTAAACCTGGGTTGAAAATTAGCTAAATGAACTCCGTTTAAATTTTACAAATTAACCCCCTCCCCCAAGAAAAATGACAGAAGAAAAACCCCAAACAATACGACTTAAACACACATTATATTTAGAATATGGACTTTATTCGTGTTTTACCATCTGAAGATTTTGTTATTCTTTCAGTTAAATTCAACAATGCCTTCACATTTTGAAATCAATACTAATTCAACTAACTGCATTCTTTGCATAAAAATAACTTACACTGACATGTTATGATTTGGTTTTAAATTATTTCTATTTAAATTTTAAATGATGATTGGCAATAAGACAACTATGAAATTAAGACCAAGGGACGTAGGTGTAGGCATCTATACATTACCGTCTGGCCTTCAAAATTAAACAAAATTAATACCATTCGGTAAACTTAAGGTGGCTGGGATGTCTTTTTCCATCTTGGATTTTGAAGTAGCAGATAACAACTGGTCTAGATCTTTAATGAAACGTGCAATTTTGAGAGTAGTATGTAATTCATGTGTAAGACTTTTCATGTTTATATAGAAAATTATGTGTTTTATCATATTTACGGCTGTTTTTTTCTAAAAAAAAAAAACACATATTTTTTTTTTGATTCGTTTTCTTTCAACTTTGCCACATAAGGGGAGATAACTCAGGTGGTAGGGGAGATAACTCAGATGAAGTAATAAATGATAATAGAAAGTGTTGTGAATTTACCTATTTCAATATGTAGCAAGAAAACAAGTCCTGTGACCTCATTTTTTCTTTTTCTTATCTGAAAGTATGTTATAAGAGCTATCTTCTCACATTTTATCTTCCATGCATAATCTATACAAAATCTGACAATTTTGCACAACCTGTAGCTTGAAAAAAGTCCGGTGACCCATACTTTTATCATATTTGGGAAAAAAGCATGATGAAAACTACATTTTGACAAATTATTAAAAAATTCAATGGATTTTAATAAAGACCCCCCATTCACCTTAAAAAGGTTCCGTCATACTATATGTGAAAACAATTATAACAAGTAAACCAACGGCCTTGTATGTAAATTATAAAACAATAAACAGAAAACATATATGACAGACAACAACCATACACAATCACTGAATTACAGGTTCTTGAATTTGGACAAGCATTTACAGAATGACTTTTTAAAACAATGAAACAAAGAACCGTTGGACTATTAGGCTTTCGGACTAACGAACCCATTATGTGCGCCTTTTTAGCTGTAATTAAAATCAATAGCATACTTAAACATAACGATCATTTAAAAAAAAAACAAATGTCAAATGGAACGTTCCTTGTAAACTTTCATTACTTAAAAAACTTCTTTTCTATTTTGAAATTTCGAGTTCATTTATACTTTTTGAACCATAGGAGCAGAGATATCTAAGGGCCGGTTTTACCCTAAGAAAATAAAGATTTTGAGAAAGACTTTGACGACAAGACGTGCTCAAAATGGCCAGACTGATCAGTAAGGTTTCAAAACGGTGTATTTCTAAATCAGTTTACGTTCGCATTCCCTTTACATGACCATAATTTGTAAAAGTAAAACACACAGTAATAAAACATGTACAGTCCAGCTACCAACAACAAAACATGTACAGTCCAGCTACCAACAACAAAACATGTACAGTCCAGCTACCAACAACTACCTTGCTCTCTTTTGATACTTTCTGACTTCTTTTGTTTTGTTCAAGCAGCAAGTACAAAGTTAACCTAACGAGAAATGAATTTTCATGATGCATCCGATTGACTTCTTTTAAAATTAGTTATGCTTGTTATTGACAGTAGTTGATTATTAATGTTTTTTTCATTACTAGGTACTTGATGTTGACGACCAAATTTTGTTAAAGTTTTCACAACTGTTTAAACCCGAGCGACTTAGTTTCGACGACTACGATTATGCGTACCTGATGCAACAACCGAACGACAAAATACCTCTAAAGGACAACATACTGTCTTCAATAAGATAAAGACAATTGTTTGCTAAGTTTGTACAGTTCATATTTACATAGAAGTGTTATCATATATCAGCAAAACATTCAGGTTGTGGCAATTTAACCCGATAAAGACAGGCTTCAAGTAGTACAGTGATTCATATTGCCATACAAACAAGTGGTAAAGTATCAATTTTCCAATAAAGATAGACACAATTAAGATTTCATTTCTAATCTGTAACCAACACACACATGCTCTTAAAGTGTTACTGCGTAATAAAAATTTTAAATAACGACACTATTCCTATTTTTTCAAAATCAGTTGTTCTGTTTAGAACAAGAAAAAAAAAATCAATTATTGATTATTTCTATGTAAATTACATAAAGTCATCTCAAATCGTCATAACTAACGCCACTTAGATATGAGAAAACTACAATTTATAGTTATTTTTAAATTATAATTAACGTTTTATACACACATGAACTTTAAACTGTGAAATACCTAACCAATCGTTTTATATACATATTAAGTTAACATCTTCTTCCGGGTTCGGTAACTTGATACTTACTATATAACTGTGCGTCTTTATTCGCTGTTCTTAGGATGCTAGTAACATGTGTAAGTATATATTTTCTTATTTTCACAAATGAACAACACGGTGAGAAAGAATTAACTAATTTCGTACGAACCAATTAAATTTAACTAATGCTGGTATTCAATACTGCAACTTTATTCAAATTTTCGACCCTTTCATTTATGGAGTAATTTTTACATGTCAATTGAGATACATACAAAAAAGTATACTCACGTAATACTCAGATACAAGTGAGTACTTTCATACACTTAGATACAGGTGAGTACTTTGATACACTCAGATACAGGTTAGTACTTTGATACACTCAGATACAAGTGAGTATTTCATACACTCAGATACAGGTGAGTACTTTCATACACTTAGATACAGGTTGGTACTCTCATACACTCAGATAGAAGTGAGTACTTTCATACGCTCAGATACAAATGAGTAATTTCATACACTCATATACAGGTGAGTACTTTCATTCACTCAGATACAGGTGAGTACTTGCATACACTCAGATACAAGTGAGTACTTTCATAATTGTAAAGAGGGAGATTTGGATACTCGAAATCCATTTAGGCACAAGTCAGGACTAATTAAAATAGTTTTACTCGACAACAAAGATTCTCAAGATACAACAAGGCAAGGGTGAGTATTCATAAAACTAGATAAATCCGGCCACATACATCCTCAAGAAACAGTAATATTCAAGTGCAAGTACTCCTAAAACTAGTTTAACCCGACTACAAAGAGAACGAATTGTAAACTTACAAACCATTCAGGGATTGGTGATTACAATTCACAAATAGTTCAATAACCCCACCACAGAGATACTCATAATCTGTTATGACCGAGGTAGTAAAATTAAATTTGCTCGGCCACGAAAAGGTAGTTTGTTTATGACTAAAATCAGCAAAGACCCATCGAAACAACATCTGATACAAAAATTTAACAATACTTTTAGATATTTGGATGATATATTGGCTCTCAATAATGACAACTTCAGTATGTATACTAAAGAAATTTATCCTGTTGAACTTACTTAAAATAAAGCTAATACTAACAATGACCACTGTCCTTTCCTCGATCTTGATATCTATATCATTAACGGGAAGCTTAATACAACAAATTTATGATAAAAGAGATGATTTTTCATTTCCTATCGTTAATTATCCATTTTTAGATGGTGACGTTCCCTTGTCACCATCTTATGGTGTTTATATATCTCAACTTGTACGATTCGCTCGTGGATGTAATAACGTATTAGATTTTAGCGAGAGAAATTTATATATTACTGAAAAATTATTACACCAGGGTTTTTGATATCATAAACTAGTCAAAACATTTACTAAATTTTATCATCGGTATAAGGACATCATTCGTAAATATAACTCAACATGCAGACATCTTATACGTTCGGGTATTTCACATCCAATCTTTTATGGTAATATTCTTTACAAAGCACAAAAATGTCAGTATTCACCTCAAAAGCTAACAAAACCTTTAAACAGTTTTATTAAGAAGGGATATATTGACGATACTGTTGTCAGGTCATTAAAGATTGCATATTTTGGCTTTAATATTGTTTCACTTATAGGGTCTTTGCATCGGAATTAAACATATGTATTCTAAAACCAGTTGTTGGCAAGACACGGATTATGTTCTTCTCATATATTTTATGACGGTATAATACTAGACCCCTAACAGGAGGGATTGTGCCTGACATTCATATGATGGAGACATAATCTTTCAATCAGTTTAATTGAGGTCTGGAGCTGGCATGTCAGTAACTGCTAGTATTCTGTTGTTATTTATGTATTATTGTCATTTTGTTTATTTTCTTTTGTTTCCTATTCTGACATCGGACTCGGACTTCTTTTAAACTGAGTTTTACTGTGCGTAATGTTGTACGTTTGTTTTTTTTCTACATTGGCTAGAGGTATAGGGGAAGGGTTGAGATCTCAAAAAACATGTTTAACACCGCCGCATTTTTGCGTCTGTCCCAAGTCAGGAGCCTCTGGCCTTTGTTAGTCTTGTATCATTTTTAATTCTAGTTTCTTGTGTATAATTTGGAGTTTAGTATGACGTCCATTATCACTGAACTAGTATACATATTTGTTTAGGGGCCAGCTGAAGGACGCCTCCGGGTGCGGGAGTTTCTCGCTGCTTTGAAGACCCATTTGGTGGCCTTCGGCTGTTGTCTGCTCTATGGTCGGGTTGTTGTCTCTTTGACACATTCCCCATTTCCATTCTCAATTTTAATACTCACAAAACACCTTTTATCTAATTTCAAAATGAATATGTTTTGTGTCGTTCGTAGTCTGATACCTTGTCAGTGACCGTCGTTTCTAAATGTTATTTTTCTTGTCCAACTAGAGAATTTTAGGTTTCAAACGAAACGTACGTACGTTAACGCAAGTAACTTAGGCTTACACTTATAAGACATAATATAAATATGGGGAGGGGGTTACTGGGGTTCTAAAAAGTACATATTTCTGGCCCTGATTTTGACTGAAATGAACTAATTTCACAGTTTGCCAGCACATTTTTGGGAGGGGGCTTAGATCAAATTTGAAATAAACAGGCATCTTTTGGATGAGTATTTTCAAAATAAAATGAATAGTAAAAATAAATGGCCACAAAGTAAGATGATTTGGAATACAAAAAATATCGTGTGGGCAAGCTAGGAAAAATAGGCTTAATCGAAATTGAAAAGTTAGAAATAAAACATGTTCATCCAAGCACCCCTCCCCTAAATATCAAAGGGTTGCTCCCTTATCACAAACATGGACATTCTTTCAACTGAATAAAAGTAAAATGGGAACAAGAATTAGAAAATAACACATTTATATGAAAAATAATTTACCACAAACGTTTTCGATACTTGGAAGTCAATATTTCTCCTTCTTTTTATGCTTTGTATCTGTCTGCTCAGGACTGGGGTAATTTAACGACCTAATTATAACTAAATACAAATATGTCTGCATGGTCGGCGTTCTATCGAACTGACGGAGGGCAGTTTAACTGCCTGACTATAACAAAATAGTTCTACATGGTCGACCCTTTGCCGGGCTTTGGTAAATTAATATTTATATATAATTATATATTGTAAATTCAGAAATTATTATAAAGTTTTTATTATATTATTGCGAATATTGCGACTGGGTGAGTATCGCAATAATAAGAACTCGCATTCTGATATCTGATGCATGAAAATGGAAAAATAAGTTGGAAATGTTCAGTAAAGTCGTGTTGTGCTAGGCTTTTGCTGATAAAACTTGTATAGTTTTTTTGAGTGGGGAATTAGACCATATACATGAAAATAATACTAATAAATTAGTAAGACAGATTTTGAGAACATGCAAAAAAAAAGCCACTAAGCGACCTTCTAAAAATAATTAAGTAGATATATAGAAGTGAAAATAAATAAAATGAAAAATGGCGCAGTTGTATTATTGTTTTATTGATGCAAATGAAACCTATAGTTTTCAAAATGAAGTGGCGCAGAAGAAGCATTGACGCAAATATTTTGTAGCGCAAACGAATTCATTTTTGGCGCAAATAGAAATGGCTGTTTATTGGTGATGCAAGTGTAGTGCGTTTCATTGTTTGATATTTGAACTGCCGAATGTGTATGCATTTTGGAGCAGAAATTATTATAGCCAAATAGTGTATGTAAAATTTAGTTGCTTTGTACCAGATGATCTTAGCTGTGGTACCTTAAGGTGCTTGCGCACCGGGTGTTGCACGCAGAATAACAACACTCGCACAGGAATCCCCGTCCCTGCACGACGGGTTCTATTGAACTAAACAGGAGCATTTCTATAGGGAGCTTACTCAACAGGTGGCCCACAATTATCATGAATTTGCATAGTTAATTTATAACCGTAGTTTATTCTCGTATAAATTTCACATAAATGCAACACACATGACGAAAATCATTCATTCTAACAAAAAATAATTGAGTATGTTCAAATACAAGTGTAAACTCTTTCTTTCGTGGAAATAGCTATTTTAAAATATATATGAACTAAATGGAGAAAGGGAGTCAAACACAATTCTACAATGACCAAGTTTAGGTGTATTACGTACGTTAACATATTCGATTTTTATTTAATTTACAAGTTTAATGGCCAAAGGGAGATAGCAATAAACATTTATTTGAAATGTTAAGGCAGATTCCGTTAAATTACATCAAAAACCTAAAATTCTCTTATAGGAATGTTTAATTTAGTTTTGACGTTATAGTTGTCTTTGTATGATTCATCTACAAATGTTTAAACCCGCGCTTTTAAGATTTGACAACTGTGATTAAAAGCGGCATGCCGGCATCTACCAAATGAATTCAAAAGAAATATGTTTTTGAGACAGCAACCCAATGACAAAAGACATCTAGAGATCAACAAATGACAGACAAGTGACTATACAATTTGTCAGGCTCTAAATGGCGCCGACTCTAGAAAAAAATTAAAATAAAATTAACATAGCCTATTAAAGATCAGACAGCAACACAAAATTCCCTACAGATAAAATGCTAGAACATATTTAAAGAAACACTTCCGAGACTGGGTCGATACCATTGCTGGTGGACGTTTCCTTCCTGATTGTATCACCTAACAAAATGTCAACACTTTGAGTTGATATGAAATATCATTGGTGTTTTTTTTTCTGTTAATCTAGAGTTTATAAAATGTTAAGTTTCTCAAAATATATAGATTTTTCTAACCCTTGGCATAGATTTCCTTAGTTGTTTAAGGCACAACTTTTCGAAATTAAGATTTTGTGACAACTGCGATTAAAGACGGCATGTCGACATCTACTAAATGAATTCAACAGTAATATGTTCTTGAGACATCAACCCCATGACAAAGGATATCTAGAGGTCAACAAATGACATACAAGTGACTATACAGTTTGTCACGCTCCAAATGGCACCGAGTCTTGAAAAAAGTGAGAATAAAATGAACATAGCCTATTAAATATCTGACATCAACATCAAGTTCCCTACAGATAAAATACTAGGACTTATTTTAAAAACACTCCCGAGACTCCTGACTGGGTCGATGCCACTGCTGGCGGACTTTTCCTCCCCGAGTGTATAACATGCCCAGTTGTCAACAGTTTGAGTTGATTTGAAATATCATTTTGTGTTATTTTTCTGTAAATCTAGAGTTTATAAAATGTTGAATTTCTCAAAATATTTGGATTTGTCTAACCCTTGGCATATATTTCCTTAGTCGTATAAGCCACAATTTTTCGGAATTTTGATTTTTTTTATGCTGTTCAACATTGTATTTGATTTTGCTACTATTGATTCGAGTGCCACTGCTGAGTTTTATATAGACGAAACGCATGTCTCGGGTTACCAATAATAAGCCTGGTATATTTTATGAGGTATTTTAAAATTATAAATGAAACGAAAAAAAAACAACAGCAAGGGAGGAAATAATCTCATTAGCACAACATCCATACCTTACAATATTGGAGCATACACCTCAAACTCATATTCATGACGAAATATCTGTGTTGAATTCTCATTAAAGTTTAACCTAAATTTTCTTTTCTTCATTCAATGCCTTTACGATTGAAGGCAAACTTTTATCTGTTCACAGATTTCAACAACTTTTCAAACTGTGATTTGCATTTGTGAATAATCTAGTTTATCTTGCTAATTTTCAGTGAATTAGTTTCCGGCTTATTACACATCATTAAAAATTGCATTGCATCTTTCTAAGTCAGTTTGAAATATATTAACTGCATATTTTCTCTGCAGGGAACATCAACCTTCCTTACATCCTAGTTACTGCTTTTGTATTACTAATTAGTTGCAAAAATGCAATACTCAATGAGATGAAGGAATGGAAAGCATGTCACTTCGCTAGTTCTTGTCTATGCAAAAACGTTCCTGGTTCAGAAAATCTTATAGCGGATTGTTCAGACAAACATCTACTTCGTATACCTAGATTACCAAACAATCTTCAAGACTTATCTCTCCGAAACAATAATATCAGTACAATAGAAGATGGGATTTTCGAAGGCAATTCTTTACTGACGACTTTGGATTTGTCTTTTAATGAAATAGGTCAAATAAAAAAAAATTCCTTCAAAGGACTCCAAAATTTACTCTCTTTAAATCTCAGCAACAATGATTTGAAATATGAAAACAGGTCGTTTGAATATTCAGCATTTTATTTCTTGGAGAACTTGAAAAACTTGAATTTGAAAAGAAATGTCTATACCTCATTCGTGCCAGATTTATGGAAACTACGATCACTAGAATCGTTGTCAATAGATTATGTTGCAGACAAAATTGCAATTCTCGATGAGAAATTTGGCTATTTAAAAAACCTTACAATTATAGATATATCTGGTTTTACCGGTATTTGCAAAATGACTATACTAACAGAGAAGACATTCTTGTTCTTACCTCAAATAACTCATTTAAACTTATCCAAATGCAAAATAAAACATATTTTCAAAGGAACGTTTAAGTTATTGAGAAATATATTGGAACTTGACGTTTCTCTAAATACATGTTTAAGATTCGAAACGCTTGAAAATATTACCACCGATTTGCAACATTCAGCAATTAAAATCTTGAAAGTAAACTACATTCATGGCATTTTAGAAAAGAGTACAGTACTGAAAACTTCTCATATTTGGAATTTACAAAATACGTCAGTTGTTAGACTCGAAGCCGCCGGGAACCGTATTCAGACAATAGAATTCGGAGCAATTACACATTTACCTGAATCATTTAAAAGTGTAGATATAAGGAACAACATGTTTTCTGTAGGCGAATATCTGCTTGATCTAACAAATATGCCAATTGCGTCATTAGAAATGTCTGATAATGCTTCTCCTCTTGATGTGATTACATCATACGTAGAAGAATGTCCTATTAAAGAAGAAACTATTACCATCAATTCTGAAAACAATTGGTTATTTACAAAACTCTCAATTTTGGAACTGTTGAAAAATAAATCTGGTAAGTTTATTTTTCCAATGCCAAATGAACTGATAAATGTTTCACTGAGGTCCAGCAACCTGAAATTTGAATTACCAAACTTAAGTTTCAGTAAAAATAAGTTAGAAAATTTAGATTTGAGTGATAATGTCTTGCATACATGGACAGGACCAATAACGAATGTAGAAAAACTGACACATTTAGACCTATCGGTAAACTTTTGTTCTAATGTTTCAAAGACATTTTTCAGTTCAGATTTTATTAATTTAAGATGCTTACTGCTACAAAACAATCTTTTAGGACTCGTTCTACCAACGGATGTTGACGGTGAAATATTCCAGAACCTCCATAACGTCGTGTACATTAATCTTTCTAAAAATAAAATAACGAATATACCGAATCTGTTATTTCTAAAGCAAAAAGAATTAGAAAGATTAGACCTCAGTGAAAACATGATTGAGGATATCAACTTTAAACTTTCTCACATGAAAAAGCTCATGTTTTTGAATTTGCGGAATAATAGAATATCTACTCTGAGTAAATATGCCATGAACGAGTTGGACTCGATTGCCAAAATGAATACAAAACTCACTATTGATCTTGGTGAAAATAATCTTGTATGTAATTGTGATTCTCTGTCTTTCGTCAAATGGATAGTTAACACTCCTACAAATCTTCATCATCGGGAAAAATACGAATGTAAAACATCACAAAATACCATCAGTCTTTTTCGAAACCCTAGAGAAGTTTTCAAAACCATACAAAAGGAATGTATGTCATATGAAGGTTTAATACTTGGATTAACGACAGGAATATTGATGTTTATTTTTATTCTATGTAGTGGTATTGTTTACAGATACAGATGGAAACTACGCTATCTTTATTACATGGTCAAAGTCAAATGGCATGACACCGAACCTAAATCCGACAACAAAGATGAAAGACTATACACGTATGATGCTTTCGTGTCATATGCAAATGAGGATGACACATTTGTCCACCATAAACTTCTCAATAATCTAGAGAAACATGGTGGAATTCAGTTGTGCTTGCATAGGCGGAATTTCCTACCCGGAAATGACATCGCCACTAATATCACATCCGCAATTCATAACAGTCGGAAAACTATTGTCATAATGTCTGCAAATTATTTAGCTTCGTACTGGTGTATGTTCGAATATAATATGGCTAAAATGGAGAGTATCTATGAACGCAATTGTGAGAACATCCTTTTCCTAGTATTTTACGAGCAAATGTCTGCTTGCGATCTTCCACTTAAAGTACTGGAACTGGTTCATTGTCAATCATATATTGAGTATCCAAATGATGAGTACGGCGATGTTGTCTTTTGGGAACAGCTTCAAAAGGCAATCAAATCCTAAATGTCAATATGTCCTCCATTTGACGCTACGTATCGTTAATTATATACAAGGAATTCCGGCATGCATTTGGCTTATTAAGTGTGTTACATTAGATGTTTTGTCAACAATATGTAATAAGTTTATAGGTTCTTCTGAAATAGATCAACTATTATTGCTTTAGCAAATATGAATTACGGATTTCCTTTTCTAGAAAGTTAACCATTTGTGTTATAATTTCGCCATACTAACCAAATATTTGTTTATAAAACGTAATATACAGAGTGCTCTAAAGAACCGCGTAGAGTTAAAATTAGAATAAGAGACTAACCAAACTTTCGTTTTTTCTCCATCATATATGTTGGTTATATATGATGATTTCATTTGTTCAAAACAATTAGGCAGATATTAAAATAAGTTTGTATGTCACGTGAACCACTTGCTGTGCTATATACTAGATGAATCTTAGTATAATAACAAGATATCTACAGTATGACCTACTGACGCTTGATTACAAATTCTGAATGTACTTTTATTGGTATTGTTTTATTGATTATTTTTTATAGCAATGTATGAAGTATAAATGTATATTAATGCCCGGTAAAAATATGGACATACCATCCTATGCCTAGAGTGTAGTGACAGTTGACAAGCAGTCTTCACGTTAGATAAATCTTATAGAACTGGTCTTTGAAAATTGGTGGAAATTAGAATGAAATTTTTAATTATTAAAAAGAGCTATGCGTTAAATGATGATATTATAAAAGGAAAAGCGTATTTTCAAGAATTTGTAATTCTAATTTTAGCATACTTTTGTTTTGATTGTTTTGAATCGTTTATTATCTTGATTGTTTAATTTCTTTCTTACTCCAATGATGTTTGAAATAGGTACCAATGCAGAGATTTGTTGTGTTTTTATTGTTTTTTTATCGTCTTATTTTGTCTAAAATGTGACATTGTAAAAAAAACATTAGTATTTTCTTACAATTGAAGTATAAAATATTCAATATTTTTATGTTGAAAATATTATGAAAACCAACACTTTTATTTAAATACATGTACTTTTCTTAGACAGCAGAACTTTATGATTTAAAATGTGAAGATACAAAATATTGTATTGCTGTACCGGTATCGTTCAATCGTTTTGTATCAAAGATATCCCTATTTTAGATTTTCCGTTGGAGCGATTTTTTACAACAACAAAAAAAAAACAACACAGTGTGGTAAATTTTAATTAGTTCTTTTACCTTTAACCAGCAAAATTCGTTACACCTGACTAAAGTAAGTTAGCAGTTAAAAGTCGATACGTTTTCTTTTTAAGATATGTTACCATTTTCGAAAACAATTATCACCAGCTATAACTGTAGAAGGTATGAATGACCATGTATAGATGTGTTTTTATTTTTGTTTTATGATCATTTACCAAAAGCTGTTTTGTTAAACATTTACCTTATAACTATTGCTTCAGTTTAATTCAGGTATAGAATAAAACAATACGTAATACGATACCAATGCAAACGATATTTTTGAGTAACAAAGGAATTATTTGAATGCGTATTTAATCCGACGAATAATGGAACAATTGTTAACATGTTAATCGATAATGGAATAATATAAAATAGCAATAGCAATCGTTTTTGAAAAAAAGATAAGATATTTTGTGAAAAGGATAGATTAAATATTAGTAGGATAATAGTTGTAGAAAGTGGAGAAGTCAGTTTAAAATTTTTCTATATTGGGATTTTTTGCCACTTATGATTGGGTGATACAATCGGAAATATCTTTCATAATAAATATTCAGTAATGTTTGAAATGTGTGCAAGTGGATCAGGAAGACACCTATTCTCCTATTTATTTCCGTTGTCTTTAAATAAAGACCCTAATGTATATAATGCTTTTTTTAATTGTTTTATTTCTCAAACTGAAAGGGGAGATGAAGTGCCACTGTTATAAAGAACGCCATGAATTTAAAAGTAAATAAGTTATTTCTTCCAGTTGCATATGATAAACATTGATATATCCAAAGCTGTCAACATGACTCAAGACCCATATAATAAAAGTATTTACACTTTTGGTATTCAGCTGAATTTTGTCCCCGAATGACCGTAGATCTATTTCCGAATAACCTTCTGACGTCAAGAAACAATCACTTTTTAAGTGTGACGTCAAATGTTTTGAATTGTGATGTCAAAGTTTACGGGAACCTGTATGATTTTACGTAATGGCGGACAAATTTGCATACAAGTGTAAATACGTCTATTTAGAATTGTCCATATCTTTATTTAGAATATTTAGATGGTGTTTACTAAATTTGTTATATACTTTGTCCAATAGGTAGTAACCAAATGCAAAATTATTATTTAGAAAACATTGATGACTCTTAAAAAAATGTGCATGTATTGTGTGTGTTTCCAGGACATGTGAGATTTTTTTTTAATTATCAGCAATCACCTTGGTTTACTGTTGAAATTTGACAGCAGGAAGGTTATACTTTATTGAACATCCATTTGCAGACTAGCACTTCAGATAACATGGATAATACATAAGTTGTTTGGTATAAACTATTTCAAATTGTTTGCAGTTTCTTATTGAAGTACAGCAAAACTAGATAACGTAAAATTTTGAGGCATGTATTTCTGCTAGTTCTAAACTGTTCACAAAAAAAGCTGTCTTTGAAAAATATTTAAGTTTTCCATATTTCTTAATGTTAAACATGTTAAACAACTAATTTTAACAAGTTCATATTATATATATATATATATATCTGTAACATTATCTTATTATCATGTATGCTCATGTTACATAAAATATAACATACATGTGTATATTTGTTTGATTTTCCTAACTACGGTCCGGTGTATCTACTCTCAAGAAAGGCTTGATGAATTATAGGTGATTGGTGTCCAGTTTTAAAAGATTACTTTCATATTCAGAAAATACTAAATAAAAAAAACAAAAAAACATTGAAGATAAGTTAGGTTAAATTTGTGTTCAGTTGCTTTCAAATCACAATAACAGTTACGGTGGGTAAGGTTGTCCTGTGAGAACACCTGTGTGCTAGTGATTTGGTCCTGACTGGTGCTGGTGATCATTGAAAAATGATGATTATTAACGTTTTCTCGCATAAAAAATGGAAGGAAACAGGTGCGATGTTTTAATTTTGTTTCTTATGGGTTCATATGCAAACAATGTAAAATGTGACACTCTAAACTGTTTCAGGTAGCGTAACTCACATGATAGTTTGCCGTGATCAACCTAGGTTGTGCTTGATTTTCATATGATGTAGACTTAATCGTTCAATCAGTTTAATTTAGGTCTGGAGCTGGCATGGGTGTAACTGCTAGTAGTCCCTTGTTAATTTATGTATCATTTTCAATTTGCTTAGTTTCTTTAGTTACCTATTTTGACACGGACTCGGACTTCTTTTAAGCTGCGTTTTACTGTGCGCATTGCTGTGTGATAGTTTATTCTACATTGGATAGAGGTATAGGGGAGGGAAGAGATCTCACAAAACATGTTTAAGCGCGAAAGATTTTTGCGCCTGTTCAAAGTGAGGAGCCTCTGACCTTTGTTAGTCTTGTCAGTTGTTTTTAATCTTAGTTTATATATTATAGTGTGACGTCCATTGAACTAGTATACATTTTGTTTAGGGGACAGCTAAAGCCCAACGCCGGGTGCGAGATTTTCTCGCTGTGTTGAAGACCCATTGGTGGCCGTCGGGTGTTTTCTTCTCTTTGGTCGAGTTGTTGTCTCTTTGACACATTCTCCAATTCCATTCTCAATTATTAGAAAAAAAAACTTTACTCTACATTTATGTTCTCCATCTTTATGCAAAATATTTTACATTTTGATTTTTAGGGTCATTGTTGAAGGTCGTACGGTGACGTTTAGTTGTTAACACCCACTTCAGTTGGTTCTAATAGAAATTTGTCCGTAGGCAAACATACCCCATAATGTTTTTATATAGGTATTGGATATTTTACACCGTATTTTGATGGTCATGCAAAAGGATCGTAATCCTGCAAATCATATCCATATTGTCTTGTCTCAAAAGGGGCAAGAGGGGTTCTATTAACAGATCAATATTTTTATTATTTTGCTCAAATCAGATTACAATAAATTTAAAATATTGATAACCGATAACAGCATTTTAAATAATCTTAAATGAGAAAACAGATAACAGTGAATAAAAAAAAAAAAAAAAAAAAAGTAAGCAGAGATATTTTTTTTTTTCATGATAACAGTTCACAACAATGTCAATTTTAAGAAAACAGATAACAGCTAATTAGTCAATAACAGTTAACAACATATAAATTTTCAAAATAACAGTTAACAAAAGTTAAAAAATGCATAAAACACCTCAACAAAAAAGATCTTGCACCTCCTCTCAAAAATCAAATTCAAACAAAAGAGACTTTGTTCAAAGGAAATATCCACCAAATATATGCTAGGTATATTTACTTTCAATTATACAAATTTTCTGCATCAATGATCTATAATATTTGCCACTTTTAACTAAAATATAAAGGCACAGAACCAGGACATATGTGCACAGAACCAGGACCGTTTAACCAAATCGCCAGCACGTCGATAGAACAGTTTCGTTTGGCGAATTTGCACGACTTTTGCAATAAAAAAATTGTTGTAATATTCCTAGCATGGTACTTAAAACGTATAAGAGAAAAACTAAGCAACAGAGCGGTTGTTTTATTGTTGTTCTGATACAATGTAAAAAAGCCACCAGTACAGAATCAGGCCCAACCAGCACCAGTCAGGACCGAAAAACCAGCACCGAACGTTCTCTCGCAGGACAACCTTACCCACCAAGCCGTTGCTGATTTGTCAACAAACATTGATACGTTAACTTTTCTAGAATGTTTGATTTTTTAGAATTAAGACAAATTCACAACTGTACTCAATCGGTGATAAATGTACATTTCAAATACTGTACATTTTTATTTTTTCTGTTTGTTAATTATAAGTAGTCTAATCACCAGTTATAAGAAGACTTAAATTTAACTATACAACTCCGCCCCATTTATGTGTTTTAGATTAAGCAGAAAATTTTGTGCATGCTACAAATGGAATAATGACTTGACGGAGTTGAACTTATTGAGAATAAGGAGTAACAAAATAAAGTATAAAACAAAAAATGAATAATAAAGAAATAAAAATAATAGGGCAATGTGTAAAGAAATAAGGACGAAGAAAAAACTGGTTTATAAAATACATAAGGCATGAATGAGGAAAACCTATCCAGAAGTTCGTGCGTGTTATGATTAAGATTTCTGTACTTTTGATATCATACATATATATACAGTCACTTATAAAACTCCATTGAAGTCGAAACAACAATTGATTACACAATGACTTTACACTCCGTCCTTGAACAGGTAATATATATTAGATCTAAATATCGATTTAACGCATGATTAAAACCGTTTCAAAACAGACCCAAGGTTGGTGATTTAACAGATTTCATTGTATCGCTTGTCATTAAATATGTTTTTTTCTTTTGTAATTATAAAAGAAAAATAGTTACAATGCAAATGGTTAACTTGTAATAGATTATGAACGACGTCTTTATCCCGAATTTAAAATTAGTTAGAGTACAACAAGTTTAATCAATTGTATTACCAGGTGAGATATACAAACATATGCTTAGATATGTAATACGGGCCGGTAATCAATATATAGGTTTGATTTTTATTCTTTCACTGATACAAATCAGACGACTACATTACACGTTTAAAAACATAATTGTGATTGATGAAAAAGTAAAAAATCAAAGAAAAAGGGGCTTAAAACCCTGCAAATGATTGAAAAGTGTTACCAAAAATACAGATCGTCAAGGTAAATTCAAAACAGGAGAAGTCCACAAAATCTAACAAAATCGGCGCTCCACTATATTAACGAACGGCACGGATAAAACAATCGTCTTTTCCCTTTAACAAGGTATTGGTATTTTTTTTAAATTCTCGGTTAAACCTGGGTTGAAAACTAGCTGAATGAACGCCGTTTAAAATTTATCAATCAATCTCCCTCCCCCTCCCCCGACAAAAAACCCCCAAACAATAAAACACAAATTATATCTAGAATACGAACTTTATTCGTGTTTTCTCACCTGCAGATTTTATTATTCTTTCAGTTAAATTCATCAATGCCTTCACATTTTGAAATGAATAATAATTCAACTAACTGCATCCTTTCATGAAAATATTGTACACTGATGTGTTGGTTTAAGATTATTTCTATTTAAATTTTGAATGACGATTGGTAATAAGACAACTATTAAAAAAAGACCAAGGGACGTAGATGTAAGCATCTTTACACCACCGTCTGGCCTTCAAAAATAGCCAGAATCAATACCATACGGTACACTTTAAAAAGTTCCGTCATAATAATTGTGAAAACAATTATAACAAGTAAACCAATGGCCTTGCTGTAAATTCAAAAACAATAAACAGAAAACGTATGTATCAGACAACAACCATGATACCCAATTACAGGCTCTTGACATTGGAAACGCATTTACAGAATGTCTTGTTAAACCAATGGAACAAAGAACTGTTGGACTATTTTGCTGTCGGACTAACGGACCTATCGTGTACGCCTTTTTAGCTGTAATCTAAATCAATAAACATGTAAAAAATATATAAAATGGAACGTGCCTGGTTAACTTTTATCCTTTAAAACTTCATTTCTAATTTGAAATTTTTTGTGGATTTATATTTTTTAAACCGTAGGACAGGGGTATTTAAGGGCCGGTTATGGCCCTAGAAAATACATGTTTTTGAGAAATTCTTTGACGATTAAACACGACGTTCTCCAAATGGCCAGACAGATGAGTAAGGTTTCAAATTATTGTATTTCTAAATCAGTTCACATTCAAACGCCCCTTACATGACAAGACCATATTTTGTAAAAGTAAAACACACTGTAATAAAAACATGTACAGTCCAGCTACCAAAAGCTACATTTCTCTCTGTTGATACTTTCATTCTTCTTATCTTTTGTTCAAGCAGAAGTTAACCTGCCGAGAAATGAATATTGAGATGTGCATAGTTGATGATGCATCCGATTGACTTCTTTTAAAATGAGTTATGCTTGTCATTAACAGTAGTTGTTAATAAATGTTTTTTTTTATTACTGGGTACTTGATGTTGTTGACGTATATTTCCTTGATTTTGTAAAAATTTCACAACTGACTAAACCCGGGCGATTCAATTTCGACAACTACGATCAAAGGCAGCATGTTGATTTCTATATATATGTATTACTAAAGGACGACAGACTTGCTCGGGAAAGGTTTTGGATAAGAAAGCTAAGGCCAGTTTTCCCAGAGGGCATGAATGAAAAAAACATAGAACGAGTCACTCATTTTCCCTACCATTACTCATTTTCCTACCATCACTTGTTTCCAGTAACTCATGCTTCCGTACTGAACTCGATCAAGATTATTATTTCAGTTTGACTACCACATGTCAAGATAAGATTCATTTTACATATTACTGAACCAGATGAAGGATATAAGCTATCCGAAATATCAAACATTTGTTCATAATTTAATTATTTTTTGGTGATGTTGTACCCTTTTTGACTTGATATATATTATATTTTGTAGTGTACTGTATCATAATTATATGATCCATCACCCGGAAGATTTATCGTTGGCTATTATTCAGTATTTTAATAATATAACTAAAAAGATACATATGGTATGCGTACCTGATACAGCAACCGAACGACAAAATACATCTAAAGGTAAACATACTGTCTTCAATAAGATAAAGACAATTGTTTACTAAGTTTGTACAGTACATATTTACATAGAAGTGAAATCATTTATCAGCAAAACATTCAGGTTTTGGCAATTTAACCCGATAAAGACAGGCTACTAGTGGTACTGCGATTCATATTGCCATACAAAGCAGTGGTAATGTATCAATTTGACGATTAAAATAGAAACAATTAATATTTCATTCCTAATCCGTAACTATAAAACATGTTCTGATGGTGTTACTGCATCATGAAATTTGAGATAATGACACTATTCCTTTTTTTTCAAAATCAATTGTTATGTTTAGTACAAGAGAAAAGATAATTAATTATTTATTTCTTCTATGTAAATCAGATGCAGTCATTTCAAATCATCGTAACTAACGCCACTTTGATATGAGAAGGCTACAACTTATATTTAATTTTAGATTATAAATAACGTTTTATACACGTATTTTTTAACAATGTTTGTGAACTATAAACTGTGAAAAATTCCCAACCAATCGTTTTATATGCATATAAAGTTGAACATTTTCTTCCGGGTTCGGTAACTTCATAATTACTATAGAATTGTGCGTCTTATTTTCTTTCTTCTTAGCCAAAGTATGCTAGTAACATGTGTAAGTATTTTCACATATTCATAACACGGTGAGAAAGAATTAACTAATTTCGTACGAAAAATGTGAATTTAACTTAAGCTGGTAATCAATTTTTTCATCCTCTCATTTATGAATTTTTATATGTAAATTGAGATCAATACAATAAAAAAAGGCATACTCAAGTAACACTCAGATACAAGTGAGTACTTTTATACACTCAAATACAGGTGAGTACTTTCATGCACTCAGATACAGGTGTGTACCTTCATACACTCGGATACAGATGAATACTTTCAAACACTCAGATACCGGTGAGTACTTTCAAAGATACGCACACAACAATTGGATGAAGGTTAATACCAATAAATCTATTTTTAACCCGAGCACAACGATAATTACGAAGCAGTTAGTGAGGATTGGTTATTCATTAAAGTTGTTCTGCCCGGCTAAAAAAAGACTAAAAACCCAGTTAGAACGAATGAGTTCTCAAACTAACAGTTGTACCCTCCGCAAAAATTACCAAAAACAAGTTAAAGATGAGAGCGTGCTCACAAAACGAGTTTAATCCTGCCACGCAATACGAAATAAACATTCGGATATTGATAAGTGCTCAAATACTTACTTTTCCTCAGCCACAACGAGAATGATTTAAATACTCGAAAGAAAACCATTTAGGCACAAGTCAGGACTAATTACACTAGTTTTACTCGACAACAAAGATTCTCACAATACAATAAGGCACGGGTGAGTAATCATAAAACTAGATAAATCCGGCCGCAGAAAGCCTCAAGAAACAGTCATATTCAAGAGTGAGTACTCCTAAAACAAGTTTAACCCGGTTACAAAGAGGACGAATTGTAAACTTACAAATCATTCAGGGATGGGAGATTACACTTAACAACTAGTTTAATAACCCCACCACAGAGATACTCAGAATCAGGTATGCCCGAAAATTAAATTTGCTCGGCCTAGAGAAGGTACAGGTCAATACTCACAAAAGAACTTTAACCTTATTTCAAAATGAATATGTTTTGTGACAACTGCAATTAAAGGCGGCATGTCGACATCTACTAAATGGATTCAAAAGAAATATGTTATTGAGACAGCAACCCAATGACACAGGATATCTCGAGGTCAACAAATGACATACAAGTGACTATACAGTTTGTCATGCTCTAAATGGCACCGAGTCTAGAATAAAGTGTGAATAAATCGAACACAAAAAATTGAGAATGGAAATGGGGACTGTGTCAAAGAGACAACAACCCGACCAAAGAGAAGAAAACAGTCCAAAGCTACCAATGGGTCTTCAACCCAGCTAGGAAATCCCGCACCCGGAGCTGGGCTTCAGCTGGCCGCTTAAACAAAAATGTGTATTATGTCATTTCGGGGTCTTTTATAGCTAACTATGCTGTATGGGCTTTGCTCATTGATGAAGGCCGTACGGTGACCTATTGTTGTTAATTTCTGTGTCATTTGATCTCTTGTGGGGAGTTGTCTCATTGGCAATCATACCACATCTTCTTATTTTTATAGTTCAGTAAAAATGGACGTCACACTAAACTCCGAAACGTATAGATGAACTAAAATAAAAAAAAACATACAAGATTAACAAAGGTCAGAGGCTCCTGACTTGGGACAGGCACAAAAAATGCGGCTGGGTTAAACATGTTTTTTTGCGATCTCAACACTCCCTCTATACATCTAGCCAATGTAGAAAAAAACACACAGCAATACGCACAGAAAAACACAGTTAAAAAGAAGTCCGAGTCCGATGTCAGAATAGGTAATAGAAGATACTAAGCAAAATGATACATAAATTGATAACTACAAGCAGTTACTGACATGCCAGCTCCAAGCCTCAATTAAACTGATTGAAAGATTATGTCTTCATCATATGAAAATCAAGTATTATTAATAGCTTATCAAAGATCTGACATCAACATCAAATTCCCTTCATACAAAAATACTAGGACATATTTCAAAAACATTTCCGAGATTCCAGACTTGCTCGATGCCACTGCTGGAGGACGTTTCCATCCCGAGAGTATCACCTGCCCAGTTGTCAACACTTTGTGTTGATATAAAATATAATAGGTATGTATTCTTTCTGTAAACTTAGGGTTTATAAAATGTTGAATTTCTCAAAATATTTGGATTGTTCTAACCCTTGGCATATATTTCCTTAGTCGTATAAGGCACATATCTTATATAGACGAAACGCAAGTCTCGGGTTACCAATAATAAGCCTGGTATCTTTGGTGAGGTATTTTAAATCTTCAATTAAAATGAAAAAAAAAAAAAAAAAACAACAGTAAGGTGATAAATAATCTCAATTAAGAGAAGACATGTTTGTTCTTGCCTCAAATAACTCATTTAAATTTATCCAAATGCAAAATACAACATATTTTCAAAGGAACGTTTGAGATATTAAGAAATATATTCGAACTTGATGTGTCTTTAAATACATGTTTGAGATTCGAAACGCTTGAAAATATAACCACTGATTTGCAACACTCGGCAGTTAAAATCCTTAAAGTAAACAACATTCATAGTATTTTCGGAATGCCTACAGAACTGAAAACTTCTCAAATTTAGAATTTAAAAAATACATCACTTGAAAGATTCGATGCCGCTGGAAACCGTATTCAGAGAATAGAATCCGGTACAGTACAATATTTGCCTCAGTCTTTAAAAAGTGCGAATGTAGGCGACAACATTTTTGATCTAAAGTATCTGCCAATTACATCACTAGAAATTTCTAATAATGTTGTTACTCATAATGTGTTCACCTCCTACGTAGAGGAATGTCCTCTTAGAGAAGAGACTGTTACAAATAATTCAATAAACAACTTGTTTTTCAATGAACTTAAATTTCTGAAAATTTGAAAAAGGAAATTGATAAGTTTGTTTTTCCTGTGCCAGGAAAACTGAAAAAAGTTTTATTTAGGTCCAACTACCTGAAATATGAAATACCCAGTTTAGGTTTCATTGCAAATGAGTTAACATATTTAAGTCTAAGTGATACTGTCTTGCATACATGGACAGGCCCAATAACGAATATAAAAAAAAAATACAGATTTAGACCTTTCAGCAAACTTTTGTTCTAATATTTCAAAGAAATTTTTCAGTCCAGAATTTCATCAATTTAAGATGCTTACTGCTTCAAAACAATCTTTTAGGACTCGTTCTACCAACGGATGTCGACGGGGAAATATTTCAAAACCTCCATAACGTCGAGTTCATTAATCTTTCAAAAAATAAAATAGCATATTTACCAAACCTTTTATTTAAAGAGCAACACAATTTCAAAAGATTAGACCTCAGTGAAAATATGATTGATGATATAAACTTTAGAATTTCTCATATGAGAAAGCTCATGTTTTTGAATGTAAGAAATAATAGAATATCTACACTGAGTCAATATGCCATGAACGAGTTGGACTCGATTGCCAAAGTGAATACAAATCTCACTATTGATCTTGGTGGAAATAATCTTGTATGCATTTGTGATTCTCTGTCTTTCGTGAAATGGATAGTAAACACACCAACTAATTTTCATCTTTTGGAGAAATACGAATGTAAAACATCAAAAAACACCATCAATCTTTTTCGAAACCCTAGAAAAGTTTACGAAACCATACAAAAGGAATGTATGTCATATGAAGGTTTAATAATCGGAGTAACGACAGGAATATTGATGTTTATTTTTATTCTTTGTGGTAGTATTGCTTACAGATACAGATGGAAACTACGCTATCTTTACTACATGGTCAAGGTCAAATGGCATGACCCCGAACATAAATCAGACAACAAAGATGAACGACTATACATGTATGATGCTTTCGTGTCATATGCAAATGAGGATGACACATTTGTCCACCACCAACTTCTCAATAATCTAGAGAAACATGGTGGAATTCAGTTGTGCTTGCATAGGCGGAATTTCCTACCCGGAAATGACATCGCCACTAATATCACATCCGCAATTCATAACAGTCGGAAAACTATTGTCATAATGTCTGCAAATTATTTAGCTTCGTACTGGTGTATGTTCGAATATAATATGGCTAAAATGGAGAGTATCTATGAACGCAATTGTGAGAACATCCTTTTCCTAGTATTTTACGAGCAAATGTCTGCTTGCGATCTTCCACTTAAAGTACTGGAACTGGTTCATTGTCAATCATATATTGAGTATCCAAATGATGAGTACGGCGATGTTGTCTTTCGGGAACAGCTTCAAAAGGCAATCAAATCCTAAATGTAAATATATTTGACGCTACGTATCGTTAATTATATACAAGGACTTCCGGTATGCATTCAGCTTATTAAGTGTGTTACATTAGATGTTTTGTCAACAATATGTAATAAGTTTATAGGTTCTTCTGAAATAGATCAACTATTATTGCTTTAGCAAATATGAATTACGGATTTCCTTTTCTAGAAAGTTAACCATTTGTGTTATAATTTCGCCATACTAACCAAATATATGTTTATAAAACGTAATATACAGAGTGCTCTAAAGAACCGCGTAGAGTTTAAATTATAATAAGAGACTAACCAAACTTTCGTTTTTTCTCCATCATATATGTTGGTTATATATGATGATTTCATTTGTTCAAAACAATTAAGCAGATATTAAAATAAGTTTGTATATCACGTGAACCACCTGCTGTGCTATACACTAGATGAATCTTAGTATAATAACAAGATATCTACAGTATGACCTACTGACGCTTGATTACAAATTCTGAATGTACTTGTATTGGTATTGTTTTATTGATTATTTTTTATAGCAATGCATGATGTATAAATGTATATTAATGGCCGGTAAAAATATGGACTAAAATGTGACATTGTAAAAAACCATTAGTATTTTCTTACAATTGAAGTATAAAACATGTTCAATATTTTTATGTTGAAAATATTATGAAAGCCAACACTTTTATTTAAATACATGTACTTTTCTTAGACAGCAGAACTTTATGATTTAAAATGTGAAGATACAAAATATTGTATTGCTGTACCAGAATCGATCAATCGTTTTGTATCAAAGATATCCCTATTTTAGATTTTCCGTTGGGAGCGATTTTTTTTACCAAAAAAAACAACACAGTGTGGTAAATTTTAATTAGTTCTTTTACCTTTAACCAGCAAAATTCGTTACACCTGACTAAAGTAAGTTAGCAGTTAAAAGTCGATACGTTTTCTTTTAAGATATGTTACCATTTTCGAAAACAATTATCACCAGCTATAACTGTAGAAGGTATGAATGACCATGTATAGATGTGTTTTTATTTTTGTTTTATGATCATTTACCAAAAGCTGTTTTGTTAAACATTTACCTTATAACTATTCCTTCAGTTTAATTCATGTATAGAATAAAACAATACGTAATACGATACCAATGCAAACGATATTTTTGAGTAACAAAGGAATAATTTGAATGCGTATTTAATCCGACGAATAATGGAACAATTGTTAACATGTTAATCGATAATGGAATAATATAATAATATAGCAATAGCATTCGTTTTTGAAAAAAACAAAGATATTTTGTGAAAAGGATAGATTAAATATTAGTAGGATAATAGTTGTAGAAAGTGGAGAAGTCAGTTTAAACTTTTTTTTTGGGGAATTTTTTGCCACTTATGATTGGGTGATACAATCTGAAATATCTTTCATAATACATATTCAGTAATGTTTGAAATGTGTGCAAGTGGATCAGGAAGACACCTATTCTCCTATTTATTTCCGTTGTCTTTAAATAAAGACCCTAATGTATACAATGCTTTTTTAATTGTTTTATTTCTCAAACTGAAAAGGGGAGATGAAGTGCCACTGTTATAAAGAACGCCATGAATTTAAAAGTAAATAAGTTATTTCTTCCAGTTGAATATAATAAACATTGATATATCCAAAGCTGTCAACATGACTCAAGACCCATATAATAAAAGTATTTACACTTTTGGTATTCAGCTGAATTTTGTCCCCGAATGACCGTAGATCTATTTCCGAATAACCTTCTGACGTCAAGAAACAATCACTTTTTAAGTGTGACGTCAAATGTTTTGAATTGTGATGTCAAAGTTTACGGGAACCTGTATGATTTTACGTAATGGCGAACAAATTTGCATACAAGTGTAAATACGCCTATTTAGAATTGTCCATATCTTTATTTAGAATATGTAGATGGTGTTTACTAAATTTGTTATATACTTTGTCCAATAGGTAGTAACCCTAAGCAAAATTATTATTTAGAAAACGTTGGTGACTCTTAAAAAAATGTGCATGTATTGTGTGTGTTTCCAGGACACGTGAGATTTTTTTAAATTATCAGCAATCACCTTGGTTTACAGTTGATATTTGACAGCAGGAAGGTTATACTTTATTGAACATCCATTTGCAGACTAGCACTTCAGATAACATGGATAATACATAAGTTGTTTGGTATAAACTATTTCAAATGGCTTGCATTTTCTTATTGAAGTACAACAAAACTAGATAACGTAAAATTTTGAGGCATGTATTTCTGCTAGTTCTAAACTGTTCACAAAAAAGCTGTCTTTGAAAAATATTTAAGTTTTCCATATTTCTCAATGTTAAAATTGAGAATGGAAATGGGGAATTGTCAAAGAGACAACAACCCGACCATAGAACAGACAACAGCAGAAGGTCACCAACAGGTCTTCAATGCAGCGAGAAATTCCCACACCCGGAGGCGTCCTTCAGCTGGCCATGTTAAACAACTAATTTTAACAAGTTCATATTATATATATATATAAATCTGTAACATTATCTTATTATCATGTATGCTCATGTTACATAAAATATAACATACATTTGTATATGAGTTTGATTTTCATAACTACGGTCCGGTGTATCTACTCTCAAGAAAGGCTTGATGAATTATAGGTGATTGGTGTCCAGTTTTTAAAGATTACTTTCATATTCAGAAAATACTAAATGAAAAAAAAAAAACCAAAAAAAACATTGAAAATAAGTTAGGTTAAATTTGTGTTCAATTGCTTTCAAACCACAATAACCGTTACGATGGGTAAGCTTGTCCTGCGAGAACACCTCTGTGCTAGTGATTTGGTCCTGACTGGTGCTGGTGATCATTGAAAAATGATGATTATTAACGTTTTCTCGCATAAAAAATGGAAGGAAACAGGTGCGATGTTTTAATTTTGTTTCTTATGGGTTCATATGCAAACAATGTAAAATGTGACACTCTAAACTGTTTCAGGTAGCGTAACACAAAAGTGCTCATTTTTAGAAAATCTAGAACTGAAAAAATAAAAAAAAAAATGCCCCTGGAGTCCACTTTCTATACCCCAATCCACACGACAAAATTATGTTGTTAAAAACCTGCGCAATTTATCAAAATTGTGCATTTTCTCAGTTTAGATATATCCTGGTAGGTTCTGTCATTGTGCTGGTGGGTCCTGATACGTTGCTGGTAATTTTTTGTCAAAAGTTAGTCCTATTAAAAGCAAACGTTACAGAATCAATATAATTGGGCAGATAATTGTATTCAATCGTATTTGTGACTCCAATTTTACTTTTGTTCATCAAAAACAAAAAAAAATGCAGCTGTTTAATAACCGTTTTCAAATAATCGTAACTTATATTACATAAAAGGGTAGCATCTTCCGTCCAATATCAGTTGCAAATATATCTAATAAGAATAGTTTTATTTAAGATATTAAATGCCCTTAAATTGATGATTCTCTACATAATATGCTAACAAGGTGATTGAGGTAAAGCGACATTTATAACGGCAATAAACGTTTGACTGGTTTATTTCAATTAAATATACGCGGTTAGATGATCTAACTACTTGTGCCTCTTTTTTCTTCCTTAATTTATACACTGTCTCCAACACATTTCAACTGTATAAAAAAACGACCCAGGCTTGCTTATCATACATGACTTATAAAAACTGACTAGAATGGAACAAGATGTGAACAATTGCAAGTCAAAGTATGACCTTCAACAACGAGCAAAAACCAAAACAAATGCTAGCTATAAAAATGTAAACGATTAAAAAATGAAGACGTTCGGCCTGATTTAAAATACAACTTTGAAAAAAACACAAACAAATATGACAGATCGCAACCATCGATAACCACTGGTTTTGGGCACTCGTGACAGGGCTCAACATGTTTGTTTGCGCTCCACACCCCCTCCATACCTAAACCCAACCAATCCCTCCTCCTTTCCTCCTTTATTGGTACAGTTGTGTAATAAGACAGCACTTAAAATTGAGAATGGAAATGGGGAATATGTCAAAGAGACAACAACCCGACCAAGGAGTAGACAACTAAGCACACAAAATAATAACATAAAGACACAAATCATTGAACCAGGAGTACTCGAAGCTACTGAAAGCTAGTTCAAAGCCGCATTTTCAACGAATGGATAAAACATGTTCTATCAGATTAAAATTACAATCGGTAATCATCAAACAAATTTCGCAAAACTTTAGTTCACATTTTATTTTTGATTTAGCAGAACTTTAAAACTGTGCAGTAAATATTGTGCTCACAACAATTATTGTCATAACTATGTATACATCAGACATTATAAAGGGCATGTGGAAGCTAATAAGTAGCTTTTATTTTAATGTTACTAATGTATCGAACATTTTAAGTTAAAAAATTCCACAATACTATATTCATTTTGTGTGTCAATTTATTTAGACAAAACAAAACTGCAAAAACTTCGAATACAAGAGAGTATTTTTTTTTAAATGAAATTATTATCTGTCGATTTCTAGATTTTTGCATAGTATTTCTTTCAGTTGACATTTTTTTTATGGGGGGGGGATTGCGAATTATCTTATCGTAAAGAGACAGTCTAGTACATATTTCACGTTCAAGGCATTTTTTAATAATTGCATTTAAAAAAACAAGGCTGAGATTCATTTGGTTGAATAAAAAGAAAAAGCATCTACTGTATCGGACAAATTTGCCAGAGAAACAATAGCCAGGATGCTAAGGCTACACTGACTTCATTATCTGAACTCACATGATAGTTTGCCGTAATCAACCTCGGTTATGCTTGATTTTCATATGATGAAGACTTAATCTTTCAATCAGTTTAGTTTAGGTCTGGAGCTGGCATGGGTGTAACTGCTAGTAGTCCCTTGTTAATTTATGTATCATTTTCAATTTGCTTAGTTTCTTTAGTTACCTATTTTGACACGGACTCGGACTTCTGTTAAGCTGTGTTTTACTGTGCGCATTGCTGTGTGTTAGTTTATTCTACATTGGATAGAGGTATAGGGGAGGGTAGAGATCTCACAAAACATGTTTAAGCACGACACATTTTGCGCCTGTTCAAAGTTAGGAGCCTCTGACCTTTGTTAGTCTTGTCTGTTGTTTTTAATATTAGTTTATATGTTATAGTGTGACGTCCATTGAACTAGTATACATTTTGTGTAGGGGACAGCTAAAGCCCAACTCCGGGTGCGAGATTTTCTCGCTGTGTTGAAGACCCATTGGTGGCCGTCGGGTGTTTTCTTCTCTTTGGTCGAGTTGTCGTCTCTTTGAAATATTCCCTATTTCCATTCTCAATTATTAGAAAAAAAAACAACTTTACTCTACATTTATGTTCTCCATTTTTATGCAAAATATTTTACATTTTGATTTTTAGGGTCATTGTTGAAGGTCGTACGGTGACGTTTAGTTGTTAACTTCCACTTCATTTGGTTCTAATAGAAATGTGTCCATAGGCAAACATACCCCATAATGTTTTTTATATAGGAATTGGATATTTTACACCGTATTTTGATGGTCATGCAAAAGGATCGTAATCCTGCAAATCATATCCATATTGTCTTATCTCAAAAGGGGCAAGAGGGGTTCTATTAACAGATCAATATTTTTATTATTTTGCTCAAATCAGATTACAATAAATTTAAAATATTGATAACCGATAACAGCATTTTAAATAATCTTAAATGAGAAAACAGATAACAGTGAATTAAAAAAACAAAAAAAAAAACAACAGTAAACAGAAGTATTTTTTTTCTTCATGATAACAGTTCACAACAATGTCAGTTTTAAGAAAACAGATAACAGCTAATTAGTCAATAACAGTTAACAACACATATATCTTCAAAATAACAGTTAACAAAAGTAAAAAAATGCATAAAACACCTCAACAAAAAAGATCTTGCACCTCCTCTCAAAAATCAAATTCAAACAAAAGAGACTTTTCTTCAAAGGAAATATCCACCAAATATATGCTAGGTATATTTTCTATCAATTACACACATTTTCTGCATCAATGATCTTGAATATTTGCCACTTTTAACTAAAATATAAAGGCACAGAACCAGGACATATGTGCACAGAACCAGGACCGTTTAACTATATCGCCAACACGTCGACAGAACAGTTTCGTTTGGCGAATTTGCACGACTTTTGCAATAAAAAAATTGTTGTAATATTCCTAGCATGGTACGTAAGACGTATAAGAGAAAAATTAAGCAACAGAGCGGTTGTTTTATTGCCGTTCTGATACAATTTTAAAAAAGCCACCAGTACAGAATCAGGCCCAACCAGCACCAGTCAGGACCGAATCACCAGCACAGAACGTTCTCTCGCAGGACAACTAAACCCACCAAGCCGTTGCTGATTTGTCAACAAACATTGATACGTTAACTTTTCTAGAATGTTTGATTTTTCAGAATTAAGACAAATTCTTATAAAGATTGATTGACAATTTCACAACTGTACTCGATCGGTGATAAATGTACATTTCAAATACTGTACATTTTTATTTTTTCTGTTTGTTAATTATAAGTAGTCTAATCACCAGTTATAAGAAGCCTTTAATTTAACTATACAACTCCGCACCATTTATGTGTTTTAGATTAAGCAGAAATTTTTGTGCATGCTACAAATGGAATAATGACTTGACGGAGTTGAACTTATTGAGAATAAGGAGTAACGAAATAAAGCATAAAAAAAAATGAATAATAAAGAAATAAAAATAATAGGGCAATGTGTAAAGAAATAAAGGACGAAGAAAAAAAATGGTTTATAAAAATACATAAGGCATGAATGAGGAAAACCTATCCAGAAGTTCGAGCGTGTTATGATTAAGATGTCTGTACTTTTGATATCATACATATATATACAGTCACTTATAAAACTCCATTGAAGTGGAAACAACAATTGATTACACAATGACTTTACACTCCGTCCTTGAACAGGTTATATATATTAGATCTAAATATCGATTTAACGCGTGACTAAAACCGTTTTAAAACAGATCCAAGGTGGGTGATTTAACAGATTTCATTGTATCGCTTGTCATTAAATATGTTTTTTTCTCCTGTAATTATAAAAGAAAAATAGTTATAATGCAAATGGTTAACTTGTAATAGAATATGAACGACGTCTTTATCCCGAATTCAAAATTAGTTAGAGTACAACAAGTTTAATCAATAGTATTACCAGGTGAGATATACAAATATATGCTTAAATATGTAATACGGGCCGGTAATCAATATATAGGTTTGATTTTTATTCTTTCACTGATACAAATCAGACGACTACATTACACGTTTAAAAACATAATTGTAATTGATGAAAAAGTAAAAAATGAAAGAAAAAGGGGCTTAAAACCCTGCAAATGATTGAAAAGTATTACCAAAAATACAGATCGTCAAGGTAAATTCAAAACAGGAGAAGTCCACAAAATCTAACAAAATCGGCGCTCCACTATATTAACGAACGGCATGGATAAAACAATCGTCTTTTCCCTTTAACATGTTTAACAAGGTATTGGTATTTTTTTTAAATTGTCGGTTAAACCTGGGTTGAAAACTAGCTAAATGATCGCCGTTTAAAATTTATAAATCAATCTCCCTCGCTCGACAAAAAAACCCCCAAACAATACGACTTAAACACAAATTATATCTAGAATACGAACTTTATTCGTGTTTTATCACTTGCAGATTTTATTATTCTTTCAGTTAAATTCAACAATGCCTTCACATTTTGAAATGAATAATAATTCAACTAACTGCATCCTTTCATGCAAATATTGTACACTGATGTGTTGGTTTAAAGATTATTTCTATTTAAATTTTGAATGACGATTGGCAATAAGACAACTATTGAAAAAAGACCAAGGGACGTAGATGTTAGCATCTTTACATCACCGTCTGGCCTTCAAAAATAACCAAAATCAATACCATACGGTACACTTTAAAAAGTTCCGTCATAATAATTGTGAAAACAATTATAACAAGTAAACCAACGGCTTGCTGTAAATTCAAAAACAATAAACAGAAAACGTATGTATCAGACAACAACCATACCCAATTACAGGCTCTTGACCTTGGAAACGCATTTACAGAATGACTTGTTAAACCAATGAAACAAAGAACTGTTGGACTTTTTTGCTGTCGGACTAACGGACCCATCGTGTACGCCTTTTTAGCTGTAATTAAAATCAATAAACATTACGATCATGTAAAAAAAATTCAAATGAAACGATCCTGTTAAACATTTATCCCTAGGCCTTAAAACTTCTTTTCTAATATGAAATTTCCAGTTTATTATATTTTTTTAAACCATAGGAAAGGGGTATTTAAGGGCCGGTTTTGGTCCTAGAAAAACATGTTTTTGAGAAATACTTTGACGATAAAACAAGAGGTTCTCAAAATGGCAGATGCGTAAGGTTTCAAAATGTTGTATTTCTAAATCAGTCCACAGTCACACGCCCTTTACATGATAAGATCATATTGTGTAAAAGTAAAACACGCAGTAATAAAAACATGTACAGTCCAGCTACCAACAGCTTCGTTGCTCTCTTTTTATACTTTCTTACTTCTTATCTTTTGTTCAAACAGAAGTTAACCTGGCGATAAATGAATATCGAGATGTGCATAGTTCATGATGCATCCGATTGACTTCTTTTAAAATTAGTTATACTTGTATTGACAGTAGTTGTTTATAAATGTTTTTTTTTTCATTACAAGGTACTTGATGTTGACGATATATTTTTCCTTGATTTTGTAAAAAATTCACAACTGTCTTAACCGAGCGATTGAATTTAGACAACTACGATTGGAGGCGGCATGTTGATTTCTATATATATGACTAATATGATAAATATGGTATGCGTACCTGATACAGCAACTGAACGACAAAATACATCTATAGGTAAACATACTGTTTTCAATAAGATAAAGACAATTGTCTACTAAGTTTATACAGTTCATATTTACATAGAATTGTTATCATATATCAGAAAACATTCAGCTTTTGGCAATTTAACCCGATAAAGGCAGGCTACTAGTGGTACTGCGATTCATATTGCCATACAAAGCAGTGGTAATGTATCAAGTTGCCGATAAAATAGAAACAATTAATATTTCATTCCTAATCTGTAATTATAAAACATCTTCTGAAAGTGTTACTGCATCATGAAATTTGAGATAATGACACTATTCCTATTGTTTCAATATCAATTGTTCTGTTTAGAACAAGAGACAAGATAATTAATTATCTTTTTCTTCTATGCAAATCAGATGCAGTCATCTCAAATCCTCGTAACTAACGTCACTTAGATATGAGAAGGCTACAACTTATATTTATTTTTAGATTATAAATAACATTTTATATACGCATTATTTAATAGTGTTTGTGAACTTTAAACTGTGGAAAATTCATGACCAATCATTTTATATAATATATTAAGTTAAACATCTTGTTCCGGGTTTGGTAACTTTATATTAACTATAGAATTGTGCGTCTTATTTTGTTATTCTTTGGATGCTGGTAACATGTGTAAGTATTTACTTGTTTATTTTCAGAAAATCATATCATGGTGAGAAAGACTTCACTAATTTCGTATGAAACAATTGAATATAACTAATGCTGGTATTCAATGCCGTAACTTTATTCAATTGAGATCAATATTAAAAACGGAATACTCAAGAAGCAATCAGATACAAACGAGTGCTGTCATACTCTCAGATACAGGTGTGTACCTTCATACACTTAGATGCAAGTGAGTACTTTAATACACTCACATACAAGTTAGTACTTTCATACACTCAGATTCAGTTGAGAACTTTCATAATTAGTTTAACTCCGCATCAAAGAAACACACAAAACAATTTGGTTAAGGTTAATACCCAAAAAACTATTTTAGCTGGGCACATCGATAATTACGAAGCACAAAGATACTCGGTTATGCAGAAGTTAGTAAAATTAAATGTGCTCGGCCACAAAAAGGTACAGTGCAATACTCACAAAACACCTTTAATCTAATTTTAAAATGAATATGTTTGGTGTCTTTTGTAGTCTGATACCTAGTCAATGACTGTCGGTTCTAAATATTATTTGTATTGTCCAAATAGGAATTTAATTAATTTGGTTTTGACATTTTATTTGTCTTTGTATGATTGATTCACAACTGTATAAACCCGCGCTATTAAGTTTTGACAACTGCAATTAAAGACGGCATGTCCAAATAGGAATTTAATTAATTTGGTTTTGACATTTTAGTTGTCTTTGTATGATTCGTCCACAACTGTATAAACCCGCGCTATTAAGTTTTGACAACTGCAATTAAAGACGGCATGTCGACATCTACTAAATGGATGCAAATAAAATGTATTCTTGAGACAGCAACCCAATAACAAAGGATATCTAGAGGTCAACAAATGACAGACAAGTAACTATACAGTTTGTCACGCTCTAAATGGCACCGACTCTAGAAAAAAGATTATAATAAAATGAACATCGCCTATTAAAGATCTGACAGCAACAGAAAATTCCCTACAGACAATGTACTAGGACATAGATCAAAAACACTTCCGAGATTCGAGATTGGTTCGATGCCACTGCGTGTGAACGTTTCCCCACCGAGTATATCACCTGCCAAGTTGTCAACACTTAATTAATTTGAAATATCATTAGTGTGTTCTTTTTCTGTAAATCTAGCGTTTAAAAAATGTCGAATTTCTCAAAATATTTGGATTTTCTAACCCTTTAATATATTTCCATATTCGTATAAGACACAACTTTTCGGAATTTTGATTTGTTATGCTCTTCAACTTTGTATCTGATTTTGCTACTTTTGATTCGAGTGTCACTAATGAGTCTTATACAGACGAAGCGCACGTCTATGGTAACCAATTATAAGCCTGGTATCTTTGATGAGGTATTTTAACTGAAATGAAAAAAAAAATAACAACAGCAAGGTGGGAAATTATCTCATAAGCACAAACTCCATGAATGATTTAGTTTATCTTGCTAATTTTCAGTGAATAAGTTTTCAGCTTATAATGTATTTCCAATCATTAAGCAATTGGCCGTTTCAGAATATAAAGAACCATGGGTAATTTCATTGTTCGTACCCCAAAATGAAAATAACGTCACGTCATTGGTTAAATTTCCATTGTTTTTATGACATTTTTAACCAATCAGGATGTTTTGGTGCACACTTTTGAATATATTACCCAGGATGCATTAGATTCGGAAATGGCGAATTGCATTTCATTTCTAAGTCAGTCTGAAATATAATAACTGCATATTTTATCTGCAGGGAACATCAACCATCCTTTCATCCTAGTTACTGCTTTTGTATTACTTATTAGTTGCAAACATGCAATATTCCATGAGATAAAGGAATGGAAAGCATGTTACTTCGCTAGTTCTTGTCTATGCAAAAACGCTCCAGATTCAGGAAATCTTATAGCGGATTGTTCAGGAAAAGATCTACTTCGTATACCTAAGCTACCACACAATCTTCAGAACTTGTTTCTCCAAAACAATAATATCAGTAGAATAGAAGATGGGATTTTTGAAGACAGTTCTTTACTAAAAACTTTGGATTTGTCTTTTAATAGAATAAGCCATTTAAGAAAAATCTCGTTCAAAGGACTCCAAAATTTGATCTCGTTGAATCTCAGCAATAATGATTTGAAATATGAAAATAAGTCGTTTGAAATTTCAGCTTTTTATTTTCTGGAGAACTTGAAAAGCTTGAATTTAAAAGGAAATGTCAACACCTCATTTGTGCCAGATTTATGGAAACTTCGGTCACTAGAATTACTGTCAATAGATTATGTTGCAGACAAAATTGCAATTCTCGATGAGAAATTTTCAAATTTAAAAAAACTAACAGGTATAGATCTATCTGGTATTACAGGAAATTGCAAAATGACTATACTAACAGAGAAAACATTTTTGTTCTTGCCTCAAATAACTCATTTAAATTTATCCAAATGCAAGATACAACATATTTTCAAAGGAACGTTTGAGATATTAAGAAATATATTCGAACTTGATGTGTCTTTAAATACATGTTTGAGATTCGAAACGCTTGAAAATATAACCACTGATTTGCAACACTCGGCAGTTAAAATCCTTAAAGTAAACAATATTCATAGTATTTTCGGAATGCCTACAGTACTGAAAACTTCTCAAATTTGGAATTTAAAAAATACATCACTTGTAAGATTCGAAGCCGCTGGAAACCGTATTCAGAGAATAGAATCCGATGCAGTACGATATTGGCCTCAGTCCTTAACAAGTGTGGATGTAGGCGACAACATTTTTTCTTTCGGAGAATATGTGCTTAATCTTAAGGATCTGCCAATTACATCACTAGAAATTTCGGATAATTTTTCTCCTCATGATGTGTTCGACTCCTACGTAGAGGAATGTCCTCTTAGAGACGAGACTGTTACAATTAATTCAATAAACAACTTGTTTTTTGATGAAATTCCATTGTTTGAAAAGTGGAAAAATAAATCTGCATTTGTTCCTGTGCCAGGAAAACTGAAAAAAGTTTTATTTAGGTCCAACTACCTGAAATATGAAATACCCAAATTAGGTTTCATTGCAAATGAGTTAAAATATTTAAGTCTAAGTGATAATGTCTTGCATACATGGACAGGTCCAGTAACGAATATAAAAAAATTGACTGATTTAGACCTCTCGGCAAACTTTTGTTCTAATATTTCAAAGAAATTTTTCAGTCCAGATTTCATCAATTTAAGATGCTTACTGCTTCAAAACAATCTTTTAGGTCTCGTTCTACCAACGGATGTCGACGGAGAAATATTTCAGAACCTCTATAACGTCAAGTACATTAATCTTTCAAAAAATAAAATAGCAAATATACCAAATCTTTTATTTAAAGAGCAACACAATTTAGAAAGATTAGACCTCAGTGAAAATATGATTGATGGTATCAACTTTAAAATATCTCATATGAGAAATCTCATGTTTTTGAATGTAAGGAATAATAGAATATCAACACTGAGTCAGTATGCCATGAACGAGTTGGACTCGATTGCCAAAGAGAATAAAAATCTCACTATTGATCTCGGTGGAAATAATCTTGTATGCAATTGTGATTCTCTGTCTTTCGTCAAATGGATAGTAAACACACCAACTAATTTTCATCTTTTGGAGAAATACGAATGTAAAACATCAAAAAACACCATCAGTCTTTTTCGAAACCCAAGAGAAGTTTACGAAACCATACAAAAGGAATGTATGTCATATGAAGGTTTAATAATTGGAGTAACGACAGGAATATTTATGTTTATTTTTATTCTTTGTGGTGGTATTGTTTACAGATACAGATGGAAACTACGCTATCTTTACTACATGGTCAAGGTCAAATGGCATGACCCCGAACATAAATCAGACAACAAAGATGAACGACTATACATGTATGATGCTTTCGTGTCATATGCAAATGCGGATGACACATTTGTCCACCACAAACTTCTCAATAATCTAGAGAAACATGGTGGAATTCAGTTGTGCTTGCATAGGCGGAATTTCCTACCCGGAAATGACATCGCCACTAATATCACATCCGCAATTCATAACAGTCGGAAAACTATTGTCATAATGTCTGCAAATTATTTAGCTTCGTACTGGTGTATGTTCGAATATAATATGGCTAAAATGGAGAGTATCTATGAACGCAATTGTGAGAACATCCTTTTCCTAGTATTTTACGAGCAAATGTCTGCTTGCGATCTTCCACTTAAAGTACTGGAACTGGTTCATTGTCAATCATATATTGAGTATCCAAATGATGAGTACGGCGATGTTGTCTTTTGGGAACAGCTTCAAAAGACAATCAAATCCTAAATGTAAATATGTTCATCTTTTTTAAATATGTTCATCTTTTCTATGTTTGACGCTACGTATCGTTAATTATATACAAGGACTTCCGGCATGCATTTGGCTTATTAAGTGTGTTACATTAGATGTTTTGTCAACAATATGTAATAAGTTTAAAGGTTCTTCTGAAATAGATCAACTATTATTGCTTTAGCAAATATGAATTACGGATTTCCTTTTCTAGAAAGTTAACCATTTGTGTTATAATTTCGCCATACTAACCAAATATATGTTTTTAAAACGTAATATACAGAGTGCTCTAAAGAACCGCGTAGAGTTTAAATTAGAATAAGAGACTAACCAAACTTTCGTTTTTCTCCATCATATATGTTGGTTATATATGATGATTTCATTTGTTCAAAACAATTAGGCAGATATTAAAATAAGTTTGTATATCACGTGAACCACCTGCTGTGCTATATACTAGATGAATCTTAGTATAATAACAAGATATCTACAGTATGACCTACTGACGCTTGATTACAAATTATGAATGTACTTTTATTGGTATTGTTTTATTGATTATTTTTTATAGCAATGTATGATGTATAAATGTATATTAATGCCCGGTAAAAATATGGACATACCATCCTATGCCTAGAGTGAAGTGACAGTTGACAAGCAGTCTTCACGTTAGATAAATCTTATAGAACTGGTATTTGAAAATTGGTGGAAAATAGAATGAAATTTTTAATTATTAAAAAGAGCTATGCGTTAAATAATGATATTATAAAAGGAAAAGCGTATTTTCAAGAATTTGTAATTCTAATTTTAGCATACTTTTGTTTTGATTGTTTTGAATCGTTTATTATCTTGATTGTTTAATTTCTTTCTTACTCCAATGATGTTTGAAATAGGTACCAATGCAGAGATTTGTTGTGTTTTTATTGTTTTTTTAACGTCTTATTTTGTCTAAAATGTGACATTGTAAAAAAAACATTAGTATTTTCTTACAATTGAAGTATAAAATATTCAATATTTTTATGTTAAAAATATTATGAAAACCAACACTTTTATTTCAATACATGTACTTTTCTTAGACAGCAGAACTTTATGATTTAAAATGTGAAGTTACAAAATATTGTATTGCTGTACCAGTATCGATCAATCGTTTTGTATCAAAGATATCCCTATTTTAGATTTTCCGTTGGGAGCGATTTTTTTTACCAAAAAAAAAAAAACAACACAGTGTGGTAAATTTTAATTAGTTCTTTTACCTTTAACCAGCAAAATTCGTTACACCTGACTAAAGTAAGTTAGCAGTTAAAAGTCGATACGTTTTCTTTTAAGATATGTTACCATTTTCGAAAACAATTATCACCAGCTATAACTGTAGAAGGTATGAATGACCATGTATAGATGTGTTTTTATTTTTGTTTTATGATCATTTACCAAAAGCTGTTTTGTTAAACATTTACCTTATAACTATTCCTTCAGTTTAATTCATGTATAGATTAAAACAATACGTAATACGATACCAATGCAAAGGATATTTTAGAGTAACAAAGGAATAATTTGAATGCGTATTTAATTTGACGAATAATGGAACAATTGTTAACATGTTAATCGATAATGGAATAATATAATATAGCAATAACAATCGTTTTTGAAAAAGATAAGATATTTTGTGAAAAGTATAGATTAAATATTAGTAGGATAATAGTTGTATGGAGTGGAGAAGTCGGTTTAAAAATTTTCTATATTGGGATATTTTGCCACTTATGATTGGGTGATACAATCGGAAACATCTTTCATAATACATATTCAGTAATGTTTGAAATGTGTGCAAGTGGATCAGGAAGACACCTATTCTCCTATTTATTTCCGTTGTCTTTAAATAAAGACCCTAATGTATACAATGCTTTTTTAATTGTTTTATTTCTCAAACTGAAAGGGAAGATGAAGTGCCACTGTTATAAAGAACGCCATGAATTTAAAAGTAAATAAGTTATTTCTTCCAGTTGCATATGATAAACCTTGATATATCCAAAGCTGTCAACATGACTCAAGACCCATATAATAAACGTATTTACGCTTTTTGGTATTCAGCTGAATTTTGTCCCCGAATGACCGTAGATCTATTTCCGAATAACCTTCTGACGTCAAGAAACAATCACTTTTTAAGTGTGACGTCAAATGTTTTGAATTGTGATGTCAAAGTTTACGGGAACCTGTATGATTTTACGTAATGGCGGACAAATTTGCATACAAGTGTAAATACGTCTATTTAGAATATTTAGATGGTGTTTACTAAATTTGTTATATACTTTTTCCAATAGGTAGTAACCCTAAGCAAAATTATTATTTAGAAAACGTTGGTGACTCTTAAAAAAATGTGCATGTATTGTGTGTGTTTCCAGGACATGTGAGATTTTTTTTTAATTATCAGCAATCACCTTGGTTTACAGTTGAAATTTGACAGCAGGAAAGTTATACTTTATTGAACATCCATTTGCAGACTAGCACTTCAGATAATATGGATAATACATAAGTTGTTTGGTATAAACTATTTCAAATGGCTTGCATTTTCTTGTTGAAGTACAACAAAACTAGATAACGTAAAATTTTGAGGTATGTATTTCTGCTAGTTCTAAACTGTTCACAAAAAAAGCTGTCTTTGAAAAATATTTAAGTCTTCCGTATTTCCTAATGTTAAACAACTAATTTTAACAAGTTCATATTATATATATATATATCTGTAACATTATCTTATTATCATGTATGCTCATGTTACATAAAATATAACATACATTTGTATATTTGTTTGATTTTCCTAACTACGGTCCGGTGTATCTACTCTCAAGAAAGGCTTGATGAATTATAGGTGATTGGTGTCCAGTTTTAAAAGATTACTTTCCTATTCAGAAAATACTAAATAAAAAAAACAAAAAAACATTGAAAATAAGTTAATTTAAATTTGTGTTCAGTTGCTTTCAAATCACAATTACCGTTACGGTGGGTAAGGTTGGCCTGCGAGAACATCTCTGTGCTAGTGATTTGGTCCTGACTGGTGCTGGTGATCATTGAAAGTACGTAAACAAAGACAAAAATGATGATTATTAACGTTTTCTCGCATAAAAATGGAAGGAAACAGGTGCGATGTTTTAATTTTGTTTCTTATGGGTTCATATGCAAACAATGTAAAATGTGACACTCTAAACTGTTTCAGGTAGCGTAACACAAATGTGCTCATTTTTAGAAAATCTAGAACTGAAAAAATAAAACAAAAATGCCCCTGGAGTCCACTTCCTATACCCAAATCCACACGACATAATTATGTTGTGAAAAACCTGCGCAATTTATCAAAATTGTGCATTTTCTCAGTTTATATATGTCCTGGTAGGTTCTGTCATTGTGCTGGTGGGTCCTGATACGTTGCTGGTAATTTTTTGTAAAAAGTTGGTCATATTAAAAACAAACGTTACAGAATCAATATAATTGGGCAGATAATTGTATTCAATCGTATTTTTGACTCCAATTTTACTTTTGTTCATCCAATAGGATATGGACAAAAACTCCTATAACTAATGTAAAGAGAAATGCCAAACTCTATGCATGTTTAAGAAGCCTTATAACACCATTTGAATGGTCTTTTAATTATGTTGTTGCAAATCACTTTGCTAGCCTATTCACAAACTCTTATTTTTAATTTGCATTTGAAATTATTATCCACTATTCCTTGATTTACTTTTAAGAACCTGCCTAATGATTTATTTTTGCCAAAAAAATATGTTGAAATATTCTGTCTCCAAGATACCTTCAACACAAAAGAAGTGAAGAAACAGTCAATAGCTTATCAACGTTAAAATATATAGTATGGAATTTTATGCATATTTTTTTTTTATACAGTTGGTCCAACAAAAATTGAAAGAAAACAATAAGAAATTTTGAATTCTTAAAAGAAATAATTCGTGAAATAACGATTTCTTTTCAGATAAAGCTATTTAAAGATATTTTTAATTTTAATCAATTGTTAACAATTTGTGTTTCTAATTTCAGCATATTTTTGTTTAAACGTATGTGAATTGTTTTTGTATTAGTTGTTTAGCTTTTTATTTGTCCATTGATGTTTGAAATAGTTACAAATGTAAAGAATTATCTTTGATTTAACTTCTTTTTTATCGTGTAAGTTTGTATTATGTGTGACACTATGAACGAAACTCTTATGTTTTTTTTTTTTACTTTTGGGATAAAACCCTGTCCAATTTGTTCATGTCCTAAACATTATGAAAACATACCCTGTTTCTTTAAATTACTTTTCTGTGAAAGCAAAACTATATGATATACCACGTCATTAAACTGTATTTTAATATATCGCTGTTTTGGATCAACCAAATCACTTTCGCTATCCTAATTTTGATTAGTTATAACACCTTAACCATTGCATCGCAGTCAGCATAATTCCGTTTATCGGACTGAATGTGATTACCAGTGAAAAGTAGATAAAGTTTCAGGAGTAGCTTCAAATAGCAAAGGTAGCAAGGTATTTTAACATGTAAATGTATTATCATTATTGTCATATATATTTATAAAAACAATTATTTGTTTGTATGCAATAATATTTGTTGATTGATTGAATGATTGTATTTTGCTTTACGCCCCACGAGCACAAACAGGCTACATCGCGGCGATAAAGCATTTTGAGAAAGATGGATGCAATGTTGACGATACTTGACAAAAAGAATGAATAATTTCAAGATATAACGAACACATTGCCAAGGTTTTTTATGTTGAAATATTCCTTTAGGTTTGAAGTTTGTTTGGATGAACTTCAAAACCATTAATTTCAGCAACTAGGTGAGGTGAGGGGGGTAAAAGGGCATCAAAAACGCCAAAAGAAGGAAAAATTACGATTTTTGGCCTGTGTTTCTTAAAATTTAATAGCGTGCGCCTACGTGACCCGGAGAAAATTATGGCGATCTAGACAGCAAAAACAGTGATAATGACATTGTATTAAAAAAAATTCCTGGGTCACGTTGGCGCAGGCACTTAAAAACTAAAAAATCGTTGTACGGAACACCTCCAAAGTGAATAATAATTACAATATCTGAATAATAACGGAAAGTTTACCCCCCTCACCTCACCCAGTTGCTGAAATTAGGGGTTTTGAAGTTCTTACGAGCAAACTTCAAACCTCAGGGAATATTTTAGCATGATAAGTAGCTTTCCAAAACAAAATTTGAAAAATAAGAAAATAAGGGGGCCAAAACGGGGGCTTATCGTACCTTGTCCTTTGATAGAATCTGCCAATTAGTAGAACATTTTAACTACTTAACGGTGATACCAAACATCTTGACTAAATTTAATTTGGTTCGTTTGATTTTCATAAAATTTTGACAAAATATTTATTTTGACCCTTTGCGAAAATATAAAAATTTCCAAAAAATTGAACCACACACTTTATCGGAAATATTTCAGTGGATATATAGCAGTTTGACAAACACTAATTTTGATCATTGAGAAGAATATTTCCTAAACAATAGAACGTGATTAAAACGTTCAGCTGACTTTTACAGAGTAATCTCCGTGTAGTGTTATGTACCACCTTAATGAAAATATTTTGCAACTATTGTGAAAATTATAATAACTAATTGTAAATAATCTACACGTTTAATTTAAAGGAGAATAATAATAATAGATGATTCAGTTGAAAATCGTTGAATATTGTGATTTTTTGCCACTTGTCATTGTTGGTGATGCATTCGGAAATATCTTCGCATATTACATTGTTAATATACAAAATATCTGTAAGTGAAAGTGATATTACCAGCTATCACCCTGTTTCAAAGTTAACATTTGACACCAGTAAGGTTATTTATTTTTGACTGAATCTCTATTTGTGAACAAATACTTCGGAGAACGCATAATAAAGTATCAGGAACTTCAAATGGCTTGCATTGTATTGTGCTAAGAACCAATGCATGGTTACCTAAATTAATGGAAAAACAACAAAACTCAGAATTTGAAATTTTGTTTCTGCAAATTTTAAATTTTACATTGTTCACCACATTGCACAAGGAAAGTTAATTTTGAAAATAAATGTGTTTTCCAAAATTTCAAAAAAAAAAAAAAAAGGAAAGGTCGATTTTCTCGATTTTATGTTCTTCAAACACCACATTCTGTCGTAATGGCAGTTCTGAGTGACGACGTTTATAAAAAAAAAACAAAAAAAACCATTTTTCGTAAAATTTCACAGAAAAGGCAGAAAAATTTTTGCAGATAACTTATTTATTTGGTTGACTGTCAACATGTGCTTTATTCAACATAAATGATTTCTTTTTGTTTCTTAAAATCTTAAGCATAGTTTTAAGGGATAAAATATTTCATTTTCGTCTATGTAATTGTAAATAGGATATTTATACAAAGATCACATGTACTTCTTATTTCATCAATACATAAATACTTGTAAAGGATATCTCATTATCATGTATGCTCATTTTATATAAAACATAACTAATATTTGAATGATTTCGAGTTTTTCTGTATGACAATAAGGAGATATGGTATGATTCCAACGAGACAACTTTCCATCAGAGTTCAAATGAAGTGGTTGGAAGTAATTATAGTCAACAGCCTTCAACAATGAGTAAAGCTCATACCGTAAAGTCGTCTAAAACCGTCCCCGACATGAAAGATGTGAAACAATTAAAACGAGAAAACTAACGGCCTAATTTACAACAAAACAATTTAGGAAAAGCAAATATGACAGTCATTAACCATTGATAACCACTGGATTACATGATCCTGACTTGAGAAAGGCATATAAGTAATGTGGTGGGGTTAAATATGTTTTTCAGCGCTCAACCCGGGTCAGTGCTATAACAGCACAACATAAGAAATAAAGTTGTATAAATCAGTTTCAATAGGAATAACTCAAAGGATCGGCACGAGGCTAAAAAACAACTTACTTAAAAACAATAGGCACAAGCGCCGAGATCAGAGTACTCGCAGTTACAAAAAGCTAGTAAAATGCCGATTACAACTATAAATCAACAAACCTTTCCAGACTAAAATACAAATCAGTACACAGCCAACGGATTTAGTATGAAGACGTCAGAACAGTCATGACAAGACAAAGTGTATTCGCTGAAATTTATTTTATCAAAACTTTTGATTTTTCAACCCTGTATACCACCCTTCCCCATGTGAAATTGAAAAATCGTCTAAAAGAAATAATCCACAATGCTTTTCAATATAAAAATGGTAGCATACGCTATAAATTTATCACTTTGGGATACCATACGGCATATTTTGTTAAAAGTGAACAAAAAGGTAAAACACGCTTCACAGAGGAACAAGTGATCAGTATGCTGGACTTTCTTATTGATAACATATTTGTTGAATTTGGAGGTAGACTTGAACGAACTGTGCGCATCTCCTTGCTGACCTCTTCTTATCACTAGTAGCAAGATTTCAGTCTGAAACGGTCATTGTGTTCTGATCATGTCTTAATCGACTGGATTTACTGCTAGAGAAAAACGTCTAGACTTTTTCAGACTTTTAGACGCTGTCACGATATACCGTGTTAAGTCCGTTCAGTCATGTCAAGATAAACAAGACAGATTATACTTGCGTCCGTTTCAGTCTGTTAAGACGGTTTCAGACGAATTCAGACCAAACCTAAAAAATTTCTGTTGTTGTTTTGTTGAGGACTTATTCGTCTATAAATGTCGTTGGTTTTATTTTTCAAATTAATGTTAGTTTATTTTAATAATTTATTAATTGTATATCGGCGAATAAAAGTTTACTATTATTTGTTGAAACTTGTATTTAAATATATAAAATTTATGCATGTATATTTACTAGGGATTATAAAAGTTACCCTCATAATTTGCCATATTAAAACAGATTTGAAATAGACGGAAATTGCGTGTATTTGGGAAATCGTTTTTTTTTTTTTGTATACAATCGTTGCATCGTTACTTACAAACAATGTATGTTATACACTTAACCCTAACATGTTGTTAACCCGGCAGGTAAAAAATGTAGTCGTTATCCAAAATAAAATATGTACGGATATTTTTGTCTTTGAAAAAAAGTAACTGCACTGGAAATTTTAAACTTTACAATATAAATTTAAGGAGATGTGGTATGTTTGCCAATGAGAGAACTATCCGTCATATTTCAAGTGAAGTGAAAGTTATCAATTTTTAGTAGCACATATTTAGTATGTTTTATGTCAGGTACTACAATTCGTTATCTGTTGATACTTTACTCGTATTAAAACATGAAATTTACTTTTGAGCATTTTATAAACTTGTTACTTTTTTGCGGGTTACTCTGTAAAACTTGGACAACTTTCTATTTTCTTGGCTTGTATTGTACAATATATTTCTTAACAATGATTTACACCACACAGTTGTGCATCTAAACGCTACCAAGGCCGCCTAAGTGCATTAAGCTTCTGAAACTGCACTTAGCCCATGATGAGACAGTATTAAAATCATAAATAAAATACCACTGGATAGAGCTTTTCATTAAAAAAATATTCTTATTTATTTTTCAGTACCCATAATAATAATTAATCAATGATTCATATAGTAAGATAAAACGATAACACTAAACACACGAGATTCCAATCCGTCTTACTATACAAATCGTAATTAAGTATGTTCTGTTTTTAAAGATTGAGATCAATGGCACATGCTAGTAATCAATCGGGTCAACAGGTAAAATACCCAATTAATGATCCATAACGCATGAAAGAAGATTGGCAACTACATGACTATTTTACAATTACATCTATTATAGTATCATAGCTCAGTGTGTGTAGTTTAAGGTTCGAACAATATTATAATGGCTTCTTTCTGAACACTACAAAAGAAAAAGATTTTATTTCCAATGATGGACCCCAAAGGGCATAAACAATACAACATCAGTAAATTTTTTAATACAATACAAACAATAAGATTAAAAAAAAAAAGATTAATGAGAACTATTTGAGTTCTTAAAAAAGATGTAGATAGAGAATCTAAAATATTTTTTTTTAAATATCTAATGCATTTTAATGCAAGTGTGGTTGATGATAACAAACAAACAGCCAAAAAAAAAGAGAATAGATATCCATATATGTATAGTACAAAATAAGTTGACTACAAATGACACAGTTAATCCTGAACATGAAGATATTGCAAATCCGCAATTTTGAGTAGTCATTTAAAAGATTGGAGAATAGCTGTAATATGTAAAAACCCAAAATTCCGGAGTAAGCAGTATATTTTTATATCTCGTCTTTTGGAAATACATTATTTCTTTTAATTCATAGTTATGTCCAAAGCTATGTCCTTCGATACAAAATTTTACAAACACATGTATTGTACCGAAGTTTTTATAAATTCATTCATTTATCTATTTATTTATTTATTTATTTATTTATTTATTTATTTATTTTATTTTATTTTTTATTTTATTTTATTTTATTTTATTTTATTTTATTTTATTTTATTTTATTTTATTTTATTTTATTTTATTTTATTTCTTTCTTTTTCATCTTCGCTAGGCAATAGTTACGATCCAGTCCTCCTCTCAGGCTAGCGAAGATGGGGGCACTTACTCAATCCCACCAGGTAAATAAATATTAACGCACGTGTATCGCGAATACAACCTAGTTACAACAGGGTACCAATGTGATATATGTGTGAATTTATTGTATTTCAGCTACACATGTGAAAAGCTTAACGTATGGACAAAACTCTGTAAAGCCACGTCAAGGATTTGTATAGTAATATATTACTATAAAAGTCCTTGGTAAAGAAAACTGCATTGCCGTGACAGATTTGAGAAAAAAGAATTATTCACTAAAAGTCATTATGCACGAAGTAAATTGTCAATGTAAATCAATAAAGGTTCTGTAATCAAATTTATGTAATACAAATCGTTCAAATAATGACAAAAGGTGAATGTAGACGTGTCAATCCAACCGTGTCCGAACTACTTGCAAGGATAACTGAAATAAACATAATTTAGATGTTTTTTATGATGTGCGGTTAAATTCCGTAATTAAAAAGAAATTGACACGAACAAATGTCGGTATCTGTGTAGAATGACTGTACATTTTTGTGTATTATAAAAAATTCTCAATTTTAATGTATTTTTAAGGATTTTTTAAGCTACAAATACAAATCCATGTTATATTGAAATAACCTTTTCGTGTCGAAAAAAAGACATATAATAAAGAAAAATGCATGCAATTATTTTGGCTAGTAGTCCATACATCAAATCTCTTTAAACATAAAGGTCTCAAAAAGAAGATTGCCAAATCAGATCTAGTCCGTAATTCATCTTTTCATCCTTTGCAAGTGATTCGGACACTTTAAAACAACGTAATGGTAACATGTCATCTGACAGATGCTAATTGCATGTACTAAGAATAAAAGTTTGTGTACTTACAAAATACGGCATCTTAGAGAACAGGAATTAACAAATACATTATTTTCAAATTTGCAAATCCAATTCACACGGGAAATCACTATCACCATCGTTGACCACTGATTCATCACCAGATTTAACACAGATCACATGCATACGATTTTCAAAATAGAAATATATTCCAACAATATCATACAACTTAGGCACGCATATGCTTATGAAGCCATTTCGTTATTTTAAAAATACGTATACAAAATTGTGTGCAATATTAATATTGTATATTTGATACTACTGTTCTGGCATAGATACATCTCTCTTCAAATTTGCAATCTCATTGATACGGATGACAACACAAGACTAAAGTAAAGACCATAAATTCCCGTGGAAATTTCAAGTGGAAGCCCAGCGGTGTTAATAGAAACAGAAAACTTTTCGTTTGTAACAAAACAATCTCGATACATTGGTAAGATAATACTGATTGCTTGATTGTTGGTGTTTAACGCCACTTTCAGCACTATTGTGCCATATCGTGATCGTGACGGTTATTTTATTGGGGGAGGAAACCGGAATGTCCGGATAGAACCGCAGACCTTCGGTAGGAAAACTGACAATCCTAATCAATTAAATTGGAGTCGAGGGCTCCTGCCAAGTGCAAAATTCGACAGGCTAGTGACACAATAGTCCGACTACTTGGATTACTTGGCCACCGAGGCCGCTTATATAATACGGAATGGTGACCCTAAGATTATTCTTATTTTGTTTTCATTTTTAAATTGCCATTCGCGACGTTTCCAACATAGTTAATATAATTATGACTGCTGGGACTCGTTTAACGTTCAGGGAACAATATCATTTGCTATACAGCTGTTTGACATCTATCGAAATGATAACAAATTTATATAAATAGTCGCAATTTAAAATATATACGTGTATATTGAATATAAGAGATATACATCCAGAACCAATCTGATTTAAATACAGGTCGATATCTAACTTGCGTTGGTTCGTCGAAGTTATGGACATAGTAAAATCACAGATTTATATTTCAATTAGAATGTTCTCGAACAGTTTAAGAAATTCGTCATCATCACAA